TATCATTGAGCTTTTTTCTCATTGTTATTAATTTTTATAGTAATTTAAAGTTTGTTTGAAAGGATGCAATTAGGTCTGTCCACACAGAGGTAAAATTATTAAATCCTGCTCCAGAAAGTGCAAAGAGAAACCGTGGAGAGCCAACATTTGGCATAATGTTGCCATTTTGTGAAGATTTATTATTAACATATAGCGATGATATAATATATGTCGTAAATCCACGTACCATTGCTATAACATCTGTTGTAACGGACGTACGTCGAATTACTGACGTCGCTTGTACTAAAGATGAAATATTTATTTTGGAAGGAGACAGAAACATTATACGTATTGCATACTTTCCCGATACTAGTACATTTAAAGGTAAAGTGTTATTATTAATTATAATTATAAGATTGCTATATTGAATTTATAATTTTGTTTACTGTAAAAATTTTTCATAATATTTCCCGATGCAATAGATTCCACATCACCTTTTCCCGAATTAAGTAAGTCAGTTACTGCCGGTATAATGGAACTTACTAATAAACTTAGAGAAACTACTATTATGCCAGCTATTCCATTCCATAAAATTAATCCAACTAATATAATTCAATCTGTGAGGTAAATTTTCCGCTTCATTGTTTTTATAAATTATTTCCTTTCTATATAAACAATAATCAATAGTTTAGCTGAGAGATGAATTATATTTCAGTATTACATCAAATATTAACACTGGTACAGAAACAAATCTTATAGCAGATGCGGAAGAAGCTATGGAAATACCACGTGTCATTCCAATAGACTTGGATACAAGGTTACTAGTGGATATTAATAAAACAGCAAAAGATGAGGAAGCAGCTAAAAAAAAAGAAGATGAAAAACAAAATTTAAGAAGACAAATATTCGATAAAATTAGTCAACAAGAATTTGAAGATGTTGTTTTCACGCCAGAAAAAAAAAATAAAAAATTACGTAGCAAATCACAAAATAGAGATAAACCTCAAGTATTCCCTTGTAACGAGATTTATAAAGCATCTTGTTCTACTAAAAATGAAGTACAAAGCAAGATAACATATTCTTCATATTTGTCAACAAGCATTGATGATGAATTTATGTTAACATCCAAACGAAATCTGGAATCAATTCAACGAGACGTTGAGAATAAAGAGAAATTATTAGCAGATATTCTTGATCTTGATTTATATAAATATAAAAAGGACACTGATACTACTGATAAAGGAATTGACACTACTAATTTTAATAATCTCATTGATACTGATTCACGTGTTATATGCCTATCAGAATCTTATAATTTTTCTACAGAATTAAACATTTATGAAAAGAGTGAAGATAATCAAGACAGTGATCAAACACTGACTGAATCAGGGGATGATGAAGCCAGCTATCAAACAGAGTTAAAAAAGTTGGAGGATCTTGAAGAATGTAGGAAAGAACTATTACAAAGTAAATTAAAGGATCGAGAATTAATTACTCTGGAAGATTTACAAGATACTCCACATCATTCAGAAGGAACAAACCACTCTGATCTTGAAGCTCAATTCACAGGTAAATGTCATTGATTTCTTATTAATTCAATCGTTTATTATATGGGCTACAAAATTTTTATTATTATTTTATAATATTAAAAAAAAAAGAACAGCTTACATTTATTTATCTTGAATTCTTATTATTATTTCAGTATTATCAGAAGAAGTGATAGCATCGGCCATTCTTGAAGATGAAGACTGGGTTGTGATTAAAACACATCCCAAATTGTATAATAATATTGATTAATATGGATAAAAAAAATTCATGAAAGGATTTATTTTTTAATTATTTTGCAAAATTAATTTTTAAATAATGCGACCTCCTTGTGTACAACTTTGCATTTATAATAGATCAAGGATAAGGAAGTCACTTATTTTGTAAACATGACAAACACGGTATAATTACAGACAAATTGTTTCTTTTGTTTCTTTTCTTTTTTTTTTTTTGTAATAATGTATTATATATACTTATTTAATTTAATGTTTAAGTTTTAAACTTATGATCTAGTCCTAAATTTCAAATCTTAATCAATTCTTTAAATCTCCTCACTTTATATAGAATTATTTTATAGTATTTTATTATTAAAGATTAAGCACATAACATTTTGTATGTATGTATTATATTTCAGTAATTTTTACGTTGTATTTTACTATTCACGTACTTAGCTATAATACTCTACTCTTTTGAGTTTTTATCAAATTATCATCTATACGATTATAATACAATTTTTCATTTTAAGAAAAATATCATTGTGTATAACACTGATTATTAATTATTTTAAACTATTGCTTGTGATTATTTTCTAAAAAACAATATTGGCAATAATTATATTAATGAATTTAAATATCATTATGATTACATGTAAAAAAAAGCAAAATATCTGTAAGCATGTAAACAAGATACTGTTACAAATGATAAAAATACAAGTGTTATATAAAATGTAATAAACCAGACATAATATGATTATTAATTTCTAAAATGAATTATTTTTAAAACGTTTTAATTTTTGATTTATATGTATTTATTTTTCAATTATTTACATTACATTGGTATTCTCCTAAATTGGATTTACGGTTTCTTACTTTGTTGCGAATAATAAGTAAAAAACGTTTAAACTGCAGTCTGAATAATGTCTGAATATTTCTTAATCTTACTAGCAACACTCATATCTACATATTTATCACCGATAGATACGATCATTCCACCGATGATCGATGGATCGACTTTGGAAGTAAGTTTAATAGTCTCACCTTTTTTGAGAAAAGATTTTAGAGCCGATTCTAATTTACCTTTAATTTCAGCATCTAATGCTTTTGCAGTAGTTACTTCACAAACTACTTCTCCTCTATTCGCAGCCATAATTATTTTATATGAATTAAAAATTTGATTAAATTTTGCAAGTCTACCATTCTCTGCTAACAAAATTAACAAATTCAAAGTAGCTGGATTAAGAGCTATCTTGCTTCCAATAGCCTGAAGTGCATCGGCCTTAAATTTACGCTTTATTGTAGGATCATTTATAAATTCTCCTAATTTAACATCTGTCTTCATCAAACCCTGTTAAGAAAGATATGACAATGTCTATTACAAATAAAATAAATAAATTTTATAAAACAAATAGTGACATATATGAGAATGCATTTCACTTAAACACTTATTCATTTATTAATAATTTTAACTAAATATTTGTATTTAAATACCTGTAATTTATCTAAATCTTGTTCGATCTTGTCAAGTGATTTTTGTTTGCTTCCAGCAGAGAAAAGCGCAGTAGCATATCTTCCTTCTAAACCGAATAATTGTATTGGTGGCTATGGTGAAATAATAATTTTCATGAATGGTTGATAAATATGACAAACACGAAACTTAAATGAGAATAAAAATGATTGTATGTACAAAAAAATGTAATTATATAATTTTACAATATTGGTTAAAGAAAAATATACCTTCACCAATTGTTGTACGGTAGAAGAGGATGAAAATGATCGAACCTGAAATAATTCTAAATATAATTTCTAAATATAAATATGAAATAATATTATTCTTTTTAAATTTACATTTACATATATTTAAACAGTACATTTGTAATAAAATTATTAAAATATTTGAATGATTTCGATTTGAAAGACGTTTGAAAGATTTTTCGAATATTCTCAATTATTTATAAAAGATTATATAATAAGATTAAAATAATAATTACTTACAATTACTCTACTGGCGATCATTTTTACAGACGTTTTATTCGAGACAAAACTAATTCGTCTCTCTTTTACGGATTATATCCATATATTATGTAATATATAGAACGTATAATACAAGTCAATTTCACAGTACATATCACACCCTACATATCATAACAGAACTCTCTTCTAGAATTCGCCATTCTGGATATTTCCATGAAAGAAATTCGAACATTCGACCAATCAGATACAGTTTATAGTATTCGTTTACATTGTATTCAATCGTAATTCGCTTTATAATAATAAAATATCAATCTAAATGATCACGATTTTTCACCAAATTTTTATTCATAACAAATATTACGGAATAATATGCAAGAAATAAACGTTAATTATATATTTATTTATAATCGATATCAATATTTCGAAATATGTCTCGAAAGTCATGCGAGTTTGCAATAATGACATTATATGAATACTTTAAAACATTATTTGAGACATAAAAGAATTTTTATAAATCCTAAATCGTTCCCTTTGTATTTACGAAAAGAGTTATAATGAAATAAAACAGCATTAAACCTACAAACAATAGAAACATTCAATTCGGACATTTTCTAGACGATATATTTATAAGAATTATATTTATAAAAGTTTACTAATTTATGATCTATATAAATATAAGGGAGTATCATTTATACAAATTTAAATATTGTAAAACAAAACATTTATTTATCATTGTAAATCTTATTGTTTTATATTAAAACTTCCTATTTAATTCTTACAAATATGAGATTTATGATCAAGATAGAGATATATATATATATATATACTTGAAATCGATTGATATGCTGTTATTACTAATATGTATTCTTACTTTTAATGATGCAATAATCACATTTTGTATAATTCAATACTTGCGTGCGTATAATTGAAAAATTAAAATTCGTCGAACTTTTAGGAAATGCAAATTAATAATAAGCAGTCGTACTCGTGAATCTAATATATCAACGTAGATAACAACGTATTAGTTCAACCCCGGTTTTCGATAGATGGCTCTCTTAATAGTTGTTCTTATGGTTTTAAATAATTAATTAGCCTTTTAATTATTATTTATTTATTTTTTCATGAACTTATAAGTGTCTTCAAAATTTAAGAGTGTAATTTTAGAGAGAAATCAATTATATTAATTTTATGTAATTTTTTTATTTTGATACAAGTTTATTTTAAAACGATTTATAATATAAAGGAAAATGACAGTTTCAACAAATTCAAGATGTATAAAAAATAATTAATTAATAATATATTAGATTTAGAAACAGTTAGTTGTTCTTATATAAAATATTATATATTTATCTTTATAATGGCAAGTACTAATGAATTTGGGCCGGATTCTGGTGGTAGAGTCAAGGTATTTTAGGTTATATTTCAATTATTAGAATAGTCTTAATAGATGTTAAATTTTAAAAGATATTAGGATATTTTTGTTACAATATTCAATAAAATTTTAATAATTATTATATACCTAGGGTGTTACAATAGTTAAACCTATAGTTTATGGAAATATTGCTCGTTACTTTGGGAAAAAAAGAGAAGAAGATGGTCATACACATCAGTGGACTGTGTACGTAAAACCATATCATAATGAGGATATGTCAACATATGTTAAGAAAGTACATTTTAAGTTACATGAAAGTTACAATAATCCTAATCGTATTGTGACAAAACCCCCTTACGAATTGACAGAAACAGGTTGGGGAGAATTTGAAATTGTTATTAAAATATATTTTCATGATCCAAATGAACGACCTGTATGTATATACATATATGTTATTGTATAAAATATGAAAGATTTTTAATAAAACTTTTTCTTATTAAATGTTGTTATTTTAGGTCACTATATATCACATATTGAAATTATTTCAATCTACTCCTGAGATACAGCTTGGAAAGAAAAGTTTAGTATCAGAATTTTATGAAGAAATAGTTTTTCAAGATCCTACAGCATTAATGCAGCATTTATTAAATACTACTAGACCTATTACAGTTGGAACTTGGCGACACAATACAGATTGTACGTATAAGATTAAATATTACAATATAGAAATTTAATTGGTAAATTAAATATTCTTCGTATGTATTTAATTTCTGTGATATTTTTATAATACTCTTACCAAATAGTTGAAGTTAAAAAGGAGTCAACAATAAAAGCACTCATAGAAGCTCGTACAAAAATAAGATTACAAGTAATAGAACTGAAAGAAAAATTGACATTGGCTAAGGAAACCATATCTAAATTTAAAGAAGAAATAGCTAAGATTTCCAAGGCAGGTGGAACTTTATCAGTAACTTGATATTTTTACATATTACTATTATAATTATTGGTTAAGAATAAAGTTAAGTTATAGTTAAGAGTGAAACATATGTAAACAAATAAATAAAAATAAAAAACGTTTGTACATAAAGCACTAATTTTTTGTTTGTTTTTTTCTTTTTCTAATTAAATATAAAAATAATACTATTGCTTCATATCGACTTTTCGATTATTACATTCGATATGACGCACGAGCTTTCTGATTGGTCAATTTTAAAAAGACCGCCATAAATATCTACTCTTCACACGACAATGATATTCGAAAATTCGAGACACAACACGACCGATATAATTATTATGAATTAATTTAATCATGTCAGGAATTTGTAAGCAAGTATTACGATCATTAAAACCAGGCGCCGTAAATTCTTTAGTTATTGGAATTATTATTAATAGTTTGAATGTGAGAACATTTGATGCTTCTCGAACAAGATGTACGAATTGGCATTGTTTTTTTTTTACGAACATTTTAATGTATTTATTAAATATGACCGTTTAACATTTTTTGAACAAATTTGTTGCAGTTAATAATGGCGAACGTGCAGTTTGGACATTTACATTACGAGATTCCGAAGAAGATTTTATTAATGTAACTGTATGGGGTACAGTGGATTTTGTTAAAAAATTAGTTGCCACTTTTCGTATAGGTACCATAGGTTTGTACAATTCATTATCATTTGATATAAAATATAGTTATAATAATTAATGAGAAGTAGTAAGATATTGTTACTAACGTTCAAGGACATTGCGATTAGATATTTTATTATTCAAACAATAAGGCAGTATAGATAAGCACCAAGTAAATGGATATGTAATTTTTAAAAAATACTGTTCTTATGAATAATAATAATAAGTTATTTTATTAAGTTTAAGTTAAAAAATTATTTTATAGAAGTCATTTTATATAGTTCTTTATTTAATAATTTAATTAATTTATTATATAAATTTATTTTTTAATATTATGAATAGATTAAGATATTCATATCAATATTCAAGGAAACTTAAACATTGCTATTAGATATTCAACTATTCTTATAACAAGGCCGTGTAGATAAACACAGTTTGCCAAGTAGGTGCATGCGAGTGGTTTTTTAAAAAAATGTATACTATATTATGTCATAAGTTATTTTATTATTATTATTGCATATTATATTAATTATACAGATTAAAATATCATTACAGTTGAAGTGATAAATGCGAAAATTATAGCTCGACAAGCAGAAGATAGAGACGAAATGTTTGTACCTCTTGTATCAATTCCATATAAATTAATAGTGAACGAAGGTATCGCACTTATACAGAAACACGATGCACCTATACAACATATCTATGAGAAATTATTGACAATACCGACTAGAAGCGTAAAAAGTTTGCAAACTTTAAAATTTCTATTGCATCAAATAGAAAACTTATGCGATCAATACGTCGACATTTTGGTCGTGATTACGTTTGTACGTTATCTTATTTTTTTTTTTCAAATTTAGAAACACGATCTTTCAATCATTATCATTAATATTGAGTTTAGGTAAGCGGAGAGCGTAATATAGTTACACGAGATGGTAGAAAGTTAAAATGTCGCAATTTCGAAGCAACGGATGGGTCAAGCGACTCGTCAATTGTTTTTATACTTTGGGAAAACGAATGGGTAGAAAGAGCAGCTTCATGGCAACCAAAATATACGGTTCTTTTTCTAGCAGACGCTCGTATCATTTTTGATAAATTCAAAAAGAAAATGGTCATAAGTATAGGTCCTATATTACTTTTTCTATTATATTTTCTATATTTCTCATATTATATCATCTAATACATCAACGATATAATATAATTTATTCATTTAGTAAGGAGAACACTGATCATAGAGAATCCCAATATACCAGAAACAGAACTCGTAAGAAAAGCGGTAGATCATTACTGTCGAGATGTTCTTTCTACAGATTCTTTTGCAGTACCTAATCGTGAGAATAAATTTTTTCTTTATACTCTTTTGTATAAAATAAGATTAGTGAGATTATAATTTTACAACCGTAATAAAATAGCCGATACGATCGTCACGGTGATGACTATAGAAGAAATTTCAGAACGATTAAATCAAGGAACAATCGTCAAAGACGGAAGATTACAATTTGCAACTATCTTGAAAGCTATTGTAACCGACATGAATGTAGACGATACTAATCCTAGTTTAATATCAACGAGATGGTATTCTTATTTCTATAAATATAATTTTCTAATAAGTATACATATATACATACAGTATACATATATATATATATATATATGATGATGAAAGTAATCATCATTGAATTTACAGTGCTTTATGTAAAAAACCGGTGATCGAAAATCGTGATTCTTGTATGAATTTGGATTGTCCATGTGGCAACGGTACTCGTGCACCATTTAACGCAACGACCATTAATGTGAAAGTAAATTTAAAAGACGATTCTGGATATCTAATTGGTTGTAGATTAAGTGGAGAAGGCGCGGAATGTGCTTTTAATTGCACAGCTGCTGAATTTCAGGTAAAAACTTTATCACAAAATTTTGAATTAGAATTTTACAGAAAAAAAAGGGAATCGAACAACAATAACAATAAATTAAAATCCTTTTCTAATTAGAGTGAACATTTAACTGATATAAATATTTTGACGCAATTGATTCTTTTTGTTACCTTCTTATTATTTCAATCGTAACGTATTTGTATTCACATTTAGTTAAAACGTGTATAGAATACAGAGTATAAAGAATACCAAAATAGAAATGGTTAACCGGTTTCCTGTATATTACTGATACGTATCGTTACACAGCATATGTATACGCGTATATATATACATACGAGGTCAAGAGGTCTTTTTCATTCATTAGATATGACTGGACACGGCATATTTTTTTTATCTCTGATTATTTTATATCTCAATGTATTTTTTGAAATAAAAATTTCGAATGAAATTGGTAATATGATTAATAGATATTTCTATTTATGTGATATACAGGCTATGACAGTAGCTCAGCGGGCAGATTTAAAATGGAAATATATCTTGGAAAAATGTGACATACGTTTACACGTGTTAGGACCGACGTCCCTCTTCCCTCGTGCTTTATATAATATTTTATCTATTCGACCAATCACCGAAGAAAACATGGAACAGAATCAATTGGATGAAACTCATAACATTTAAAAATATATATAAAAAGATAATACAAGGATATAAGACAAGTAAAAAAGAAGAAGAAAAAACAAAAAAGAAAAAAAAATAAAAGGCAGTTTTAATAAAGAATGTTCTTTTTTTTTATTTATTTTTTTTCTTTCTAATACGTACAAATATGAGAAACATACAACTTTTAATCTATCTTAATTTTATATCTTACTTTACGAATATATACCTTTTTTTGTCATTTCTGTTATTATAAATAATCAATCGAATATTATTTATTTATGGAGATGCAATACGAATATTACCAATTATAATTCACCAAAACCAAACGTAGAGTAGTTAACGATGAAACGATTAACGAACATTGCCAATCAATGAGTAATCGACTTTAAAAAAAGAGACACGAGAAAATCGATATTGTTATGATCGTAGGAGAGGGCAATGAATGACGCGATCATTGGGTCATGCCTTCTCCAGGCCCATGTTTTCTTCATTAAAAAAAGGATTAGAAGACGTATTTAAGGTAAAGGATAAACTCTATTACTATCTTTGAACAAATGTCGAATAATAAAATAATAGTTATAGAAAAGTCCTAGTATATTAAATATGTAGCCTCTTTTTTTAGGTGACCGAAGGAGATCCTGTACAGGATGGAAGAGGACGTAGATAAAAAAGAAGAACAAGAAGTTGCAGAGAAACAACCCTGTTCTTTACCTAATTCAGACGAACAGCTTACATGTTCTCTTTATCTTTCCTGCAACGGTATTCCTCGTGGTCAGGATCACCAAGATCAAGGTAGATTGAACGAGAGAACGTTTGACTTTGAATATTTTTTCTAGCTTCATTATATTCGTAATTATCAAAGATGGAGAAACTCTTCGGTCCCGATTAGAAGAAGCTATCAGCGCTTACGAGTCTTCAGGTACATGGCAAATTTCTGAAACTTCTTGCGGCTTTATTGTAACGTTCGATCGTGAAACTGACGTGGATAATTTTTTACAACGTTGCGATTTTACACGGCTTTTTGAAGGACCCGTACAAGTATGTCGAAATCATATTAATAGAGATCTTTTATATTTCTAAATATATAAAAGTAATGCGTTTATATTAGGTAGCTCGATTTGCTCCAAGAGATACTCGATATCGACAAGCCGTGTTACTTCGTGATGTACCTTGGGCAATACCTCTTCAAGATTTAAGCTCTGCCTTGGCGAAGCAAGGAATAGCGACTGGAATTATCGAGAGATCGCGTCAATATGTTCGCGTTGAGGTAATCCAAGACGATTAAATAATAAAAGTCGATCTCGTGTGCGAAGAATAAACAACGATTATGTGTTAGCTTTTGGATATGGAACATTACGAACTTCTATTAAGACAAGGATTAGATTTCTTCGGTGCTGCACGATTCAGTGCTATTCCCGAACGATGGTGGCGTCCTGGAACTGGAAATACAACTATGCTACCAATACCTCCTGGTAATTTCCCTCCAGGACATCCTGCTGAAACATCGAATCCTCATCAAGGCGATGGTGTACTTCAGTGCTATCGATGCCAAGGTTTTTGGCATGTAGCTGCTAATTGTCGACATCTTCCAAGATGCGTTCGCTGTGGAGAACCTCATAGCGTTGAATTTTGTCCAAGGCCACGAAATAGTCCTATCTGTTGTCACTGTTCTGGTCCTCATCATGCGGGTAACGCTAATTCAATACCCACGTTCTCTTTTTCCTCTTAGTATTCATTCTACAAATTTCTCGTAATCGTTACATTCTAGGCTACCGACAATGTCCTGTAAGATTGCAATTATCCAATGCTACTCCCATCAGTATCACTTTAAGCACGGTACGAGCCGAAGGTCAATATTCGACAAATCCTGCCAATAATAAATCAACAGCTTCTCCTCAAGGATTGCAATCATTAAAACCAAATCATTCTTAAGCGACTAATTTCAGTTTTACGTTTGAAAAAAACGATAGTTTTCTCTTCTCCATTTTTTTGGTCGATTATTCAAAATCTTCCGGATCTCTGTTATGTTGACTCGATACTATATGAAATAAGACCCGTGATCCATGTGATCCATGATTGAAGACTGATTATAAACTTGTTCTCCGATAACTAGGCTATCGTGCTAATGTTACGTGAAAGTTTCTCTTTTTAACGAAGAAGAACGTAACACAGAAGAAACATTTCTTTCCTCTATGTTTATCTCTATCATGTTTTGTAACTATTTTCAATTAAATACGTAACATATATATATATGCACTATGTATAAATATTTTTTTTTAATAATATATTCTTTCTTTCTCTTTCTTTTTACGAATAGATATACAGCAAACTTTCAGTCATTTTTTGAAGTATCGCGATTTCCAACAACGTCGGTGAAACTCGACTTACAAAATTTGTAAAGAAAGCTAAAGTTTATTATCCGCAAAGTAATGCAAGTATCTCTGTTTTTTCTTACTTCTTTTTTACTTCTCAACTGCGCCCCACTTTCTTCGTCCTAGTCGAAGTGAATGTTCAGTGAATCCCCCGTCACACGACGATAAAGTCGCAATAGAGGAGGGGCCACTAACATAAGGAAATAAGATTCCCGCACAGTTATATTCAGTTATTTCATTTAAATCAATCGGTAGACCATCTCTGGACTAACAATAAATGAAAGTGCAAAACTAAGACTGAATTACATATGTACAGTGTCTGTTGTTACGTAGTGAAAGAATGTAAAATCTGCAAAATTAAAAAGAAAGAAAAGTGTATTTATTATCACATAATTTTAAACGATTTATATAAATCAATTGTTATATTTCAATGAATTCTTCAAAATTGAACATCATGAAAATTATATATTTAAAAACTTTTTTAAGGTAAGTCATTATTTAAGAAACAAGAAAAGTCATTTAAGTTATTATTTAAAAAAATACACAATGTTTTTCGAATTATTTTGTATTTAACGACTTCTTGCGGTAGAATAGTATGTCTGGTAAAATGTTATCATTTATAATTGATACTATATGATAGGTGTTTTTTTTATGTCTGTAAAAAACATTAGTTGTAAAAAAGATTAGTCGCAAAAAAAACTTACATGCATAATGATGTGTTCTCTGTTATATTTTCTAAATGGTCACGTATATTATTTATTAACGAAATCTTGGGTGGGTCTCAAGTGGGATTTCGAAAATAATTATTAGTATATTTGTTATTATCATTGTTTAAGAGGAAAGTGTAAGGTTTCAGGTATAAATTGTGGAAGAAATAAAATTATAGATCTTATTCGGATATATGAATTTGATCTATGGACGACTATTTTTTATAAAATTAAAATGAATTCGACGAATATGATAATATTCTTTTTCCTAACATTATTTATCAGCAGTTTACAAAAGCCTATTTTTTTTAAAAATACCTTCAAAGGATTGCGAGGAATTACGTCGGAACTTAATTGTTTAACATACGTGAGAGCGGTTTATTATTACGAGCAAACTGTTGCTATCGTTGATCTCACAGTTAATAACGTATTACACGATTGTAATCTTATCGAAATATAGTAAGTATTACTATTATATTGTTAATTTAGACATAGATAAGCAATAAAGCATAGATAAATTAATAAATTAAATTTATATATTCGCTTTATATAGTGAACCAGAAGAAGCTAACGAAGTACTTCGAAATCTATCACTAACTGTAAATCCACAGAAAGTGTCTTTTCAGCAGATGATAAAACTTATGCAACAATGTGAAACTTTGGATAGCTTACAGTCTCAAGAATTATCTATTTCTGAAGATACGCGAAACAAAAAAAGTTATTCTCGAATAAGCTCATTAACATTATTATCAGGAATTATACCAGGTTAATTATTACTCTTTTATATTTTTCACTTTTTTTTTTAAAGTAAATGTCAGTAAGTATTTGGTCTTTACCATTCTTTTCAAGGAACAAAATGGTGTGGAACTGGAGATATAGCTGAAAATTATCACGATTTGGGTCAAGAAGCAAATATTGATAGGTTAGAATAACTTTGTAAATATCTAAATGCAAGTAGAATAAATGTTACAAATATATTGTGTTCACAGATGCTGTCGCAATCATGATTTATGCCCTGTAAAAGTAAGAGCTCAAACATCACGTTACAATTTAAATAATAATTCTTTATATACTAAGTAAGTATAATATAGTATTTTGATTTATATGTATTTAAAAAATAGTTTTATTATATATCTTAGCATATAAGGAATAATAAATAATATATATACGAACATGTGTGTAGATTTATAATACTGACATGTGAAAAAGTCTTTATATCATTTTTTATCTTACCTGTTTCAGATCACATTGTAGTTGTGATCAATTATTTTACATCTGTTTGAAAGCTACAAAAAATTCACTTGCTGATCTCATGGGTAATATATATTTTAACATTATAAAAGTACCATGTATAGAAGATATTTCAAGTCAATGGAACCAAGAATCTGAAAAGCAATTTATTCCAGTAAAAACAAAGTATTAGCCTTCTTTAATGGATTTTTGTTACTGTAAAATCTCTCAATTTTAAACACGATATAAATAAATATTATCAATAAAAACAAATTACACGTACTTTCCATTTATAAAAATATATTATGGACCGGAAAGTAATGTCGCTTTCTTAAATTAAATTCAAACGAATAAATTTTGAACAAGTTTTTATTTTTAATCACAATCAAATATCGACATGCGCAGAAACGACATTACTTTCCGGTCCACCTAATATATACATATTATTGCTGATACATACTTACATACTATCTCATTGTGGATGCAATAATTTCTTCTAATGGTGACAAAAATGAGATGATATCTTGGATTTTTTGATTAATATTTGAAGATGCATGATTGCATAAATTTCCTACAAAGATATTTTTTCATTCACAAAGATATTTCCTTCATTGTATAAATTCTATGATTCAATATCAAAGGATTACCTACCTAACAACCACATGGTTTCTTTTCTTATATATTTATGACAATGAAACAATAATCCTTTTAATAAAATTTGTACATCCAAGTGAGAATATTTAGGATTTTTTAAAAATATATTAACAATTTCTTCAGATGCATTAGACAATACATTCGCCAATATACGTAAACACGCTGCAATCTGAAATAATTATTTTCATTAGATCCAAGAGGACATATTAAATACATACCAAATACATACCAAAAAAGGAATAAAAATACATACCAAAGTAGTATTGGAAAAATTATTCGAAGCAGACTGATGTAAAAAATCTACGATAGATGGTAATGCATAATATAAGGACTTGCTGCATGCTACATTTGAAGATAATAATGCCAATAACCAAAAAGTATTAGCATTTTGTTCTAACAAATTTCTGTTTTTGCATGCTTCTGCAAACTCTACCAACTCAATTTCCCTGAAATATTAGAGAATGTATAAAAATGATAAATAATAAACTTAATAACTAATTTTTATCATGTTTTCTAAAATACATACGTAATGGAAGAAAAACCACCATATATATAATGCAAAGCTGCATATATCACAGAAGAAAGAATGGTATTATCGCATTCACGCATTAATACAATTATATATTGTAAACATTTTTGTGCTTGTAAAATTTCAAACGCTTTTTTACTTCCACTGGACAAATTTCCAATAGTCCAAAGACAGACTTCCTAAGATTTAATATATTAATAAGTTTTATCATGTTAAAATTTAAAGATATAAATATTTAAAAAAATATTTATATTATCTTACTAATAAAGGACGGTTTAAACTTTCGCATTCTGTTATTATATATGGAGATACATGTTTAGCTATTGCTGTGCAGGCTTTTGTATTACTAAGAGCAATATTACAACAACAATTCGTAGCACCCAATTGAGAAATTGGATTGTTACCAGAAATATCCCGTGCCAATGCAAATATTATATTATCAACTTTTAATAATGTTTCAATATTTAATTCTGACTGTAAAATATTTGAAATTAATTTATTAAAATTATTAAATTATACTTGGCAAAGTTCTATTGTTATATTATGTGCAAATTAATCTTGAAATTTAATTATAACCTGAATTAAAGCATTTTGCAAACGTCGATAATCGTTAACATTAAGTGTCTTCTTTTTAAGCTTCTTTGCCATTTGTGTAACAAATATTGAAGAATAAGATGTATTTTCTATACATTCTCCAAGAGCAGGACGATTCTTATTAACCACTATAGCACGTTGCTCCTTTCTCTCTGTATTAATAGCTTCCCTTAAACGTTCTCGTATAACCTCCATTTTCAAATTGAAATAATCATACGTTTATATATTACCATAGCTATATGATAACTTTTCACTGGTAACTGATCGACCGTGCAGAGCATCATCTAACGATGAAATATATAACCAAAGTGTAGTTTGAGTTCCTATTGATAGGCATACATGACTGTATAAAACAAACATGAATGTATCATACATGACTGTATGAAACAAACATGAATGTATCATACATGACTGTATGATACATTCATACATGATTGTATGAAAACAAATTATTAATTAATAATTATATAAAATTCGAATATATATTTGTGTAATAAAAATATAGTTTCTGATAGAAAAATTATTTTAACAAATATAATGGACACTTATCCTTTGTTTTTAGTGATCACTATATAAATTTTCTGCATGTTACACTTTTATAAAATAAAAATATTCATGAACTTTCCATCCCTCAACTTGGAAAAAGAATAAAAAGAAATGAAAATACAAAGAGTTCGATGAATATTTCTCTAGATGGACAGATATCACCAGATAAAAGCATCAATTTATAAAATGAGGAAAAGAAAGTAAAAGAAAAGACTGACGTAAAAGAAGAAAACGTATATAACTGATAAATAAGAGGTTTGTATGTACATACGACGTTACACCGAAGGGTGTATTTTCAAGCAATTCTATTATTAGGATTGCTCGAAAAATTCTGCGAAAAGAAATCTTATCGATTGGGTCGATACTTCACGAACTTTTCTATCGGAAATTATAGGATAAACGTGAATACAAAATTATATGCTTTCGTGTATCACTCACACTTCAATAATTATATACAATACGCGCGCAAAAAAAAAGAAAAGAAAAATACTAGCTAAAGAAAAACTTGAATCTTTCGTGACTTTATCATTTTCTTTGGTGCTTCTTAAAAGAACATAAGCAAGAATTTTTCCTTAATACCACCAATAGAAAATCTTCAGCCATTTGAAATTGAAAACAAAGAAATGGATTCTTTTACTAATCACTATTACAAAATCAATCGTTTACTTTTTTTAATAGTCGGCCAATGGCCTTATCAAGATTACAGAATGAAATTTGGTCTTATGATTATCATATTTTTATATTTTGGTCTAGCTTTGTTAGGTCAGGTAAGAAACATTCGAATGTATATTCTTATTTCTATTTATTTCGATATTTCATAAACATCTCTCTCTCTCTTTATTTCTTTATTTCTTTATTTCTTTCTCTCTTTATTTCTTTCTCTCTCGTTCTCTCTTTCTCTCTTGCACGATATATGATTATTCTTTAAAAACTATAGATATTTAAACTCATTAGAGCTGGACACGATTTGGATCTTATATTCGAAATTTTAATAACATTATTATCCAACGTTATTTGCATAACAAGATACTGTAATTGTATTATCAATGTAAATAAGGTGAGAGGTTAAAAAAATAACAAATAAATAAATAAAAACTATAAAATTCTATTAAACGAAATATAAAATTTTCCTTGATGATATCGTAGTTTAGAAAATTATTGGAAAATATCAAAGATGTTTGGAATGCAACAAAAATGAAAGAAGAAATTGAAATAATCAAAATTTATGCTGAAGAAGGTAGAAACTATACTTTGTTTCTTACAGGTAAAAATATTTAAAACCTGTTAAATTTCTATATATTTTTTATATGTATAACATTTTATTATTTATTTCAGTATTCAGTTACTTTTCATTAGGCTTTGTAGATTTAATTTCGTTGATGCCATGCATATTAGATGTCGTTTTACCACTTAATGATACTAGAACTCGTAAATTTTCATATCAAGCAGAATTTTTTCTCGACGTAGAGATATATTTTTATCCTATTCTATTGCACACGTGGATAACTATGTTTTTCGGTGTGACCATACTAATCACTACAGAAAGTATATTTCTTATGTTTGCTCAACATTGTTGTAGTATGTTCAAAATACTTTGGTACGTAAATCCATGTTTTTATGTATGCGTTTTTTTTTTACAATTACATACTTCATTGAGAATGGAGTTCATTGGCAATATATGTCGGGAGATTAACAAAAAAATATATCTAATCTAATCATACAATTACAACAAATAAACATCTAATGCGTTATATTGAATTTTAATTCCTTTCTTTTTTGTTTTCAAAAATAAAAATAAATCAATTAATACCTTTTTCATTATTGTAATAATTATTATTTCTTAATTGCTGTATGAATGTTTTTTTAGTTACAGATTGGAACATGTTTACGATAAAAATTTAGAAAACACCAATAGAGATAATGCTTATTACGAGGCTAAATATAGAGTAGCTGATTGTATAAAATATCACACAAAAATTTTAGAGTTGGTATCAATGTGGCTTGGATTCATTGAGAAAAACGAATCATCCGTAAATTTTTCTTGCTACATGAAAACGAATTATCTCATTAGTTGCATCATTAATGATTAGATTTAAATTTCATAATTTTATTAAGATATTTCTAATACCGTTTGATATTACATAATTACACACACATACACACTATCAATATTATCGTCGTTACAAATTTATAAAAATTTATAATTATCACAGATTATTAACAGAACAATAATTTTTTTTATGTTAATTAACTTTTTTCTCTTTGTACATTTTGTTTGATTACATCATGGATGGAAGATATATATGTAAACATCAAATAACATTCATATAACATGCACATTATCATATAGTAAATGTTAATCATTTAATCACCTTTACTTAAATATTTTTAATGGTAATATCAAAGAGATATTTTTATTACTTTATATATATATATTCTTTTTTGTAAAAAAATATTTCGAAACCACAATTTCTTAATTGATGTTATATTTTTTCTCAATCAAGGTTCATCGCAACTGTTATTTCCTATCACGAATTATCCTTTTTTATTCAATTTTTAATCATCGTGATTTTAACGAGTATCGTTTTCGTTCAAGTAAGTAATAACTTTTTATCTGATTATTGTTTCATTTTTTTTTACATTTATTTTCATTTGTCTATGTATATACAATATGGAGTATATTTATATGGGGTATTTATATTTATTAGATTAAAATACTTTATGGAAAATACGAAGTATTAATATATTTAGCTTTAATAGGAAGCTTTGTGTGTCATGGATATCTTTGTGTTTATCCTGGACAAAAAGTTTTAGATCACAGTAATTTATTATTGGAAAAAGCGTTAGTAACATATTCTCAAAATATTGAATTATTTAAATAAATGCATAAGCAAAATACATTTTTATATCAATTCTATTAATATGTAGATACAATGGATTCTGGTATCTCGCTCCGACAAAAGCACAAAAATTATTACTGATAATAATAAGAAAAAGTATAAATACTACTCCATTAGTTATTATGAAACTATGCGTACTTTCGCATTATAGTTTTGGATTGGTAACGTATAACATATATATACATACATATATAGCGTCTTATGTTTAATAATTATTTTTTTAATCTTCTTTTTATTTAAGGTTTTAAAAACGTCAATATCTTATTTCACGGTGCTCTATTCATTTCGATAATAATACATATGTACTTTGATATTTGTAAAAATAAATCAAAGCTTTTAGTACATGTTCATTACGTATATCTACTATATTAATTTTAATTAAATCCTTATTCTTTACTTTGTACAAATAAATGAGCTACAAATATTATGTGTGTGCGTGTATGTATATATATATATATTACTGTTTGTACGAAGGATTGTAAATATTTAATATCTAATCAAATTCGTCTTACAATTAGTTGTATCGTTGAATCGATGAATCTGTTATTACAAAGGCATAATGGGAGATTAACTATATGTTCCATATTAAAAGAATATGTTGAATGTATGAAAATGATTAAAAAATATAATTTGAACAATGAGTATAAAGTAATGATTAGAATAAAGAAAAATATTTACCTGTAATTGTATTTGTACGAAGTCATTAAACTTTTCGATGAAGATTAAGTGGAAGAACTTTTAAATTCACATTTTCAACCATTACAATATTTATCGCAACGTACTTCTCTTCTTCTAAATTTATCAAAAATGTATTAATGATTCTAACAAAATGGCAAATAAAATAGTTTTAACAAGAATATAACATAAATCGTTGTTTTTTGATTTACTAATGAGATCAAGAAATTCTGATCTAATATATGAGAATTATATATGATAATATAAATGATAAATTAAATGTATGGGAATTAATGAAGAAGCAGATCTGTACACGTCCAGAAAATTGCGTACACGAACGAAAACTGAGTAATACAATTGGTAGGAACGAATAAGGAAAATCTTGCAAATGTCAAACTATTGATTGTCTTTTGATTGTTTACACTTACTTTGCAGGTTCTTCCTAAATTCTCGGAATAGATAGGGTATATACACATACACATACATATATATCCTTGTAATCTAATATTATCGCGTCGATAACCTTTAATTTCACTGCTTGCCAGAGACTAGAAATACATAAACAAGAAATATTTTCATAATTGGTGGGGCATCTTTATATTTTTATATACATATATCGTAATGCTATCTTTCTCTCTCTATTAAAAGTTTCGTTGTATGGACTTAAAAAGAGATAGACTTACGTGTGCATACGTTTAAAATATTATATTTAACGTACTATGTAGTCGTCATAATTTTTCATGTTCTTAGAAAGTAGAAAAATATTAGATCGATGTATATAGAGTAGAAAATTAATTGCCTACATGCATATGTATATGTGCACTAAACACGCGCGTGTGTGTGTGTGTGTGTGTGTATATAAACAATGTACAATGTACTCAGAGTACGATAAGGTAATAATTAAACAATAGTATATGCCATTAAAAATCACTTAGTTCATATAATGCGTTAACCTTCTTTCACTCTTCGTCGAATGTATAACGTCAACAAGGATGACCATTGAAAGGAACATACAAGTTACTACATTAGTTTCCTCTCGTACTCCGAGGAGTAAACCTCGAAATAGAATTTTTCCGTACCACTACATTCAATAATCTTATAAATATGGTCATTTTATAATTGTTTAAACAATACAAAATATACTCGGAGTACGATGAAATAATAATTAAACAATTTTACATTCCGTAAAGTGTCGCATATCTCTTAAGATGAATTGGATTTAGAATATTTTTCTTTCGGCGTGTGTCGATCGTTTAATATCAACAAAAAAGAACATAAGGCAGAATTTATTTCTTGGAGTTCGAAAGGAAACCAACGTTGAAATGCAACTTTTTTGTATCGTTACTATAATCATCTTATAGATACGATCATTTAATAATTATTTAAACAATGAATAATGCACTCGGAGTACAATGAAATAATAATTAAACAATATTACGTTCCATAAAGTATTAAACAATATTACAATCCAAAATTACTTTTACTGGAACATAGATTTGTACGTGATAAACGCGGATTAAGGAAACGATGATTTTTAAATTTATACATACAAGAAGTAGATTTTGCAGCATTGTCGAAATAAAATTGATTATATGTGATAGATACAAATTTAAATTCGTAAAAGGAATCATTAATAAATAAGATTATTTTACTAACATTTAAACAATAGAACATTCCTAACAACATTACAAAGATCGTAAGATACGATCGATATAAAATAAGTTTAATTTAGTCTTTGGACAAACATAAATCGCGAAATCGAGAAGGAATAACTAATAAATAAGATTACTTTACTAACATTTAAACAATCGAATGATGTTTATCAATATTACAAAGATCGTTAGATACAATTGATATAAAATAAATTCAATTTAGTCTTTCGAGAAATATAAATCAGTAAACTCAGGAGGATATAATTAATAAATAAAATTATTTTACTAATATTTAAACGCTAACACCTACAGTTAATGTCGGAATCTGAATTCTTAGTAAGCTCATATCATTCCGGGAATTAGAGTAGAGTTTTTAAAGTAGATCTCAATAGATATTGCTATCTATCGAAATTCGATCTAATACAATGGCGAATGGCTGTATATTACAATATATTTTCAAAATTTCTTTAATCTAATTTTGATTAAATATTAAAGGGCGAACACTTTATTTATTTGCTAATAATACTTTCACAAATAAATAAATTGGATATAATAAAATTCTATGGACAAATATCAAGTATATAAATTTGCGACTAAAATCAAGATTTTGTTGATTATTTGATCAAAAATAACAGTTAATGAATATATACTTATATAATACATATTATTTTTATAAAAAAAAATCAAAATATTAGTTCGTTATCACACTCTCTATGAAGTCAAATTTCCAGCACCAAATATTTTTCGTATTTTCTCCTATAGAATTAATTCTCTTTATATTGTATTGTTACTATTATTATAGCAATGATATACAATATAATAATATAATAATGAGAATAATGAAAAAAGAAGTAGAAAAAGAAAAAATATATTTATATTTATATTATATAAAATAATATTTGATATATATATATATATATATATATATATTATATATATATAAACATTCATTAATTTTCGTATTTATTATATTTATTATCCTTTATGCATTTGAATCGTAAATTAAATATATACCTGTACTATAGTATATTCATCACGGATTACTGCGATAGGTACGCCATCATTAAAAAATGATATAAATATGATAGAATGAAAAAGTATGACTTCACAACCTATTAGCACTATCTATTCTAATCCAAATTAACCCGATCGTTATATTACCTGCGAGAGAGATATAAGCTATTCAAACTCATATACTACATTTGTAGTTCATATTTTGCCCATATCTGTCGCTGATATCACACATGTTTCGAATGAAAGACGATGAATTGTGTTAAAATTAATATTATTTCATATTTAGTACGTCTTACGACCTACGTAATGTCTAAACAAAAAATGTATTTTCGTTAAATTATAATTTGTTATAATTTAGATTGTTTAAATGAATGTATAATATGCAAAGCTATTCATTATTTATGTGTAATCTATTGAAAATAAGAATTTCGATTTAATATTTATTGTTTGAGATTTAATGATAGACCGATTATTTGTTGTCACAGATATCCAAATCATTTATAAACAAAAAATAGAACAAGATTCTGAAAATCTGAGCACTAGTTAATGCGTACAAACAATCAATCGTCTACTTCACGAAAACAAAACCACGTCACTCAAGTGTTTATATGAAAATGGTAGTAGTGATGGTATGAGATGTTTTTCTCTTTTGCCGCATTGTTCAAGAAGCGCTACTGTACGAAACTTCTTTTCATGAAAAATGTCGGTAGCAGCGTTTACACCAACAGAATGAGTCAGGTGTAATTCTTGATCGATTTTGATGAATAAAGTCTCATTTAGAGAATGAAGCTTTAGAGGACATCACTTTTCCGAATTTTTGAAATAACTTTACTTTTATAGTATAGACTATTCGCGCAAAACACCATTTTTTGATTTTGTTCTTTTTTCAAATTAAATAAAGCTTTTTCATAAATTTGAAAAATTCATGTCCTCGCTTAAAATTTCGTCTATTAAACTAAACCCCTTGTTCATCAAAATTTACGCATGTACTCGTTATTGCCGTAAACCATGGTTAATGAATAGCCTTAATATACGAAGAGTAATTAATTATAGTAAAAATAAACATAATCCGCTTTTTAAAACAAAGAAAACAAAAAATAAAAAGAACGATGTAATTAAAATTACAAATTTGCAACCTCTTCTTCATTCTTACGCAAATTCGTTTACGTTAATCTAAATATATTTTTTTAATCATAGATTTCTCTCATGATATATATAAGAAATAAGTATTTCAAGTTTACCGTTTAGTTATTAATCAAATCTAAGTAGTTTGAGAAAAAAAGAACCTAGTATTTGTATATAAAATTTATATATAAAACCGATAAAAAGAAATCCGTCTATATCAACGGAATGTTGTCTATTTTTAATTGAATAAACTGCGTTTCCGTTCAACGTGGACAGACGATGGTAAAAATAAATATTCGACTATCTAGTAACGTCTAGATATTTCTGATCTGCTTTTAATATAACGCAAGAATAGTAAATGTAACAGAAAACTTTCTGACACGAAGTGTGTAAGTTGATAAGTGATCATTTCTAGAATGACAATTTCATCAAAGAATTTATAATATTCATTTGAACGTGTTCCTCGAAATAATAAAAATTTATCAATTAATAAACGTGCGTGGAAAAAAATTTATAATAAACTTATTTCTTTTTTACATATATTATATAAATTAAAAAAAATATATAATAACATTTTATATACTAAGATGACAAAAGAAACATTAACACCGCAAGAGTGGAAGGAAAAGGGTAATGAAGAATTTAATAAAGGCAATTGGACAGAAGCATTCAGTTCTTATACAAATGCTCTCAAGCTTACAAATGAGGAAAATGCTGAGAAAGCCATTTTTTATAAGAATCGTGCAGCAGTGTGTTTAAAACAACAAAATTATGACAGAGCGATTAAAGACTGTGATGAAGCACTCAAAATTTGCCCAAAAGATCCAAAAGCTTTATTTCGTAGATGTCAAGCACTTGAAGCTTTGGAAAGATTTGAGGAGGCATATAGAGATGCTCGTTATATCATATCTACAGATCCTAACAATAAAACAATTCAGCCTATAATTGCACGACTACATGAAATTGTACAAGATCGTTATAAGCAGAATTCTCGTGTTAGTGCAAAGGTATGTTATTATTTATTTTTTATATTTATTTTATTATAAATATATAACATAATTAATGTAGCTATTAAAATTTTCTTTGGTATATATATATATATATTTTGCATATTTCTTAAATACATTTATTTATATATAGGTATCACAAATGATTGATATATCTTTTGATTTACAACAAGATAAAGAAAAACGGGAAACAGCAATAAATAATCTTTTGGTACTTTCTCGTGAAAGAGCTGGTGCAGAAATAATGTTTAATGAAAGTGTAGTATCTAAAATAACAAAATTATTAAAACTAGAAAAAAATGAGGAAATAATTATTGCCGCTATTCGTATTGTTGCTGAATTATGTAAAGACAATATTAATAGAACTGAACAAGTCTTAAGTATTATAGGTATACCATGGTGCTTGGAAATGATCAACAGTAAAAATATAGAAAGAGTTAATGCAGCACAATATTGCCTGCAGGTATAATTAATGAGTATTATTACAAATTAATTTTTTATACATTTTTGTCATATAAATATAAACATTCATATACATATAACCATATATTTAATATTTCAGATCATACTAAACAGTTATAGTGGAATGGATAATAAACCAGATACAAAACCTAACAAGGATTTATGTGAACAATATAAGAAAGAAATTGATACCATCTTATCTTGTTTACTATATAGTACAACAAATAGAACGATTACTGGCCAAGCCAGGGATGCAATAATAGAACTTATAATGCGGAATATACATTACACTGCACTAAATTGGGCAGAACGTTTGGTAGAAATCCACGGTCTGCAGAGATTGATGGAAGTTGCCAGTGAGTTAGAGGAATACAAATATGAGTCTGCAATGGATATAACTTCATCTACACGCACCATAATGAGCGTTTGTTTGGCCAAAATTTATGAAAATATGTATTATGATGCTGCAAAAGAAAAATTCAGAAATGCTATTGATGAATACATAAAAGACAAATTGCTTACACCGGATATAGAATCAAAGGTAATAAATTGATTTTATAATTTCTCTATCAATAAATGATTTTTAAATTAATTATTTAATATATTTACAGGTCCGTGTTGTTGTTGCAATAACAACACTATTACTTGGACCTTTAGATGTGGGAAATTCAGTTGTTGCTAAAGAAGGTATTATGGAAATGATTCTTGTAATGGCTGGTACAGAAGATCCATTGCAACAAAAAGTTGCATGTGAATGTATCATAGCTGCAGCATCTAAAAAGGATAAAGCTACAGCTATAATATCACAAGGTGTAAATATACTTAAGAAACTATACCAATCAAAGGATGATTCAATTCGCGTACGAGCTTTAGTTGGATTGTGTAAATTGGGTAGTTTAGGTGGTACAGATGCAACTATCAAACCATTTGCTGATGGAGCAACAAAGAAATTAGCAGAAGCTTGTAGAAGATTTTTGATTAATCCTAAAAAACAAAAAGATATGAGAAAGTGGGCTGTAGAAGGGTTGTCTTATTTAACATTTGATGCTGAAGTTAAAGAAAAATTAATAGAAGATCATGATGCCATTCAGGCGATGATAGAACTTGCCAAAACTGGAGATCAGTCTGTACTATATGGAGTAGTTACTACTTTAGTTAATTTATGTAATGCCTATGACAAACAGGAGATGATACCAGAAATGATAGAATTGGCAAAATTTGCTAAGCACCATATACCACAAGAACATGAATTTGATGATCCAGACTTTTTAAATAAAAGATTAATTACTTTAGCTAAAGCAGGTGTAACGAGTGCTTTAGTTTCTCTTTCTAAAACAGAGAGTCAGAATAGTAAAGAATTAATAGCACGTGTTTTTAATGCTATATGTAGTCAGCAAGAAGTAAGAGGAATTGTTGTACAACAAGGAGGTGCAAAAATTCTTTTACCCTTGGCTTTAGATGGAACAGATAAAGGAAAGAAACAAGCTTCTCAAGCATTAGCACGTTTAGGCATTACAATAAATCCAGAAGTAGCATTTCCTGGACAAAGAATCATGGAAGTTATAAGACCATTTTTGAATCTTTTAAATCCAGAATGTTCAGCATTAGAAAACTTTGAAGCATTAATGGCATTATGTAATTTAGCCGGTGTTAATGATACTGTTAGAAAACGTATCCTTAAAGAAGGTGGTTTTTCGAAAATTGACACATATATGTATGAAGACCATGAAATGTTGAAACGCGCAGCTACACAAGTAATAAACAATTTAATTATATGTGAAGATACAATCAAATATTTTGAACAAGAAAATGACAAAACAAAATATCTTCTGATTCTTTGTGAAGATGAAGATGAAGAAACATGTTTAGCTGCGTCTGGAGCGTTAGCAATGTTAACATCAGTAAGCACAAAAGCTATTGAGAAAATGTTTGATGCACAAAATTGGTTGGAAATATTACGCTTTTTGCTTGCAAATCCCAAATCTGAAATACAACATCGAGGAATAGTTATTATATTAAATATGATGAAAAGTTCAAAAGATATTGCTGCAAAATTGGTTGAAACAGATATAATGGAAATTTTAATGGCTTTAACACAGAGTGATTCTGTGCAAGATAAAAAAATTAAAGATTTGGCAGTCCAAGCATTAGGAGCTGCTGCTGATTGGAAACTTATTCTTTCTGTAACATCATAATATTTTAATACGACTCGTTACAAAAATATTGTATCATTTAATGAATGTGCCTTATAATGTATTAAATAATTCATTAGAACTTTTTCCATTGTATACTGAAACATATTCATAATATTCATTGTATTTATCATATTTCATTGCATATATTATACTATTTATATATATAATTTTGCAAATAATAAATATAAATAGAGTATTCCGCATTTATTTATATATTATACGGCATTGTTACTTAATAAAAAAAAACAATTTTAGAATAGATTCATTAATTTGCAACAAATACATTTTGTATTTTCTAAAACTTTATTTAATATGTAAAATAAAATTAAATTAATATGTAAAATAATATGTAAAAAAAATATGTATGACTGTTATGTATATAATTAAAAAAAATATTTATTACAGTAGTTAATAAAATGTATAAAAATTGTATATTTGTCATGCAGTATGTATATATACATATATATTATTTCATTTATAGAATAATTTTATGTAAAAACTACTTATAATGATAATTTAAAAAATGGATGATCTAAAGCTTGTTCCGCTGTAATTCGAGTTTTATGATTTAAATCTAAAAGACTCGTCAATAGTTGGTACGCTTCTTTTGGATATTGTACAAATGATGATGGTATCTAAAAATTGGAAAATATATTTTTCATTAGATTTAACTAATAACTAAGAAAGCTTTCTTTAATAATCACAGATAAATCAAAACAAAACAAACAAAATACCTTGATTTTACAATTACTGGTCTGTGGTAAATCTTTGTTTCTTTTTTGCAATTTTTGACATAAAGTCATTAAATCAATTCCTGGTAAATTTTCACTAACAATAAGTTTTTTACCTAAGTTGATAAATAAAATAAATAAAACATAAGACTATTAAAAACTAGTTTAAAATAATTAAATTTGAAATAATTAATAAAAAAGCCAAAGTAAAAAATATACATCAGAAAATTAGAAATAATAATAAAGTACCTAATTTTTGTGCACAATGTTGTAATTTCTGTGTACCAAATATTGATATTATTTCTGCTAAAGCTGTACAATCATCTGGTGATCGAAAAAAAGGCTGTGTACTACTTAGGATACATAACATAATTATTCCACTTGCCCAAATGTCAATTGCTAAAAATTATATACAATATGTATATATATATTGGTACTCACTATATTAATTATTGTTTAAAAATATAAATTGTTTGCAATTTATACCTGGTGTTTGTAATGGATATTTTAATAACACCTCAGGAGCTCTAAACCCTGGAGTGCCTGCTCGAGGTGCTGCTTGGGTAGGATTAGTTAAACATAAGGAACAAATTTTAGGTTTTCCGAAACATGAACATGTATCATTCATGTACATTTTTTCTTCAGAAGTATAAGATACTTTTTTGCTATTCTGTAAACACCAAAATATTGGGGAGAGAGTAACATTAATTTATTTGTGAAAGAAAGTAATTTATTGTATAAAAAAATGTTTACCTCATCACATCTTTTTCGTTTTATAGATTGCATTGTACTATTCAGTGATTTCTGATTATTTAATGCTGGTGTTGTATATTTTTGAGCCAATCCAAAATCAACTAATAAATATCTAAAAGTGTTTATTTATTTAGATATACAATAGATTATATTTAGATTAGCAGTAGATTAAGGGACATTTATTGTTTCCAAATATAATCACCTTTTATTAAAACGATCATATAAAAAATTACTTGGTTTAACATCTCTATGTATTATGTTAAATTTGTGTACTCTTCGCAATGCAATTAATAGTGCTCTCATATAATCTCTTGTTTCTTGTACTGTCATATCTTGAATATATTCCTGATTAACATGTTTTCATTATTAATCTATTTTCTTTTTTGTATAATAAATTTGAATTACAAGTTATCACTACAGATACTATATGAAAATCAATGGTGAACTTACAGAAAACTTATCATGTCTCATATATGGCATTACAAATACAACAGATCCTTGATTTCTTAAACATAATTCTAAACTGACAACATGATCTTGACCTCTAAAAAATGATAACATCTTAATTTTCTATAAGTAAATATATATTAAACTAACATTGGTACCTATATATATTTAAATTTAATTTTTTTTAGTATTTACCCAATTTGTTTTAAACATTGCAATTCGCGTTCTATCTTTTCTATATGGCAAGTAGGTACCAAATGTTTTAATGCATATTTTTTAGAACCATTAGATGATTTTAAAGTAGCTAAGTAAACAGAACTAAATGTGCCTTCTCCAACTTTTTTATGTATATGAAAGAGCTCCTTCAAAAATGGTATACTATTTTTAAGAGCAATAACCTTATCATTATTTTCATCTGAATAAAATATTTCTTCTATTAGTATTTCCTAACATATATCATATATATACATATATTATATATATATATATATATATATATATATATATATATATATAAAACTTAATAAATATATGTTCTTGCCTTCATCATCTTCTTTCGTACGTGTGGATAAATTTAAAGCATCCATAATATTAAACTAACAAATATACAATCTTATATTACAGATCGTTAACTTATGGTTAACCTCACTTATTTTCTGAACTGCCTTTTTAAACATACTTAAATGTAGTCTTTTTTTGCCGCGTAATACTTGCCAATACATGCTAAATCGAAAGATTTCATGTTAAAACTTTTAAATCTTCTTTAGGCAGATCTTTTTACGTTGCTATCTTTCTTTAGTTTGAATCAGGTATGCGTCAACATAAAGCTAAGTGCATCCGTGCTCTTGAATAATTTATGTGAATAAAGATATTCGGGATAATACATACATACGAGTAGATTTTTATAATAAAATATGTTATATATTTGGTCTATTACATAAAAAAATCTCATTTATATAATAATTGTAATTAAAAATTCATAATGTATGTAATGAGAGATTTTCTATTACTTTTCAGTATCTTTTATTTGTCAAAGTTATTCCTTGGCAGTTACATATATGCGTCTTATTTAAATGTTACGTAATCGTAATCATTGTACTGTAAAGACTAAATATGATTGGAGCTTTCTAATCTATTCTTCGTAAAAGCCAATATATAATTGGTTGAACGTTTACATTTGTATGCAATCATCTTCAGTAATTTGTTGTCATCTACTCTCGAAAAGCAATTTTGATTTTCAGTATTGATCAGTAAAATATTTTTCATTAAATAAAACTATCTTTAAAACAAGACAAAATTTGAAAAATAAATTATGTCGTTAAAAAACATCATTATTAATATATACTACCACAATGAAATACGTAAATATATAAAAAAAGAAAGAAAAATATTTTTCATAAAGAAGCATAAAAATTCTTTTAATTTTGAAAATTAATAATAAACATAACAATACTAAAAAGATATAAATATATATGAATGATTCAATATATCCTGAAATTAAAACGGAATAAAGTGGAATAAACGTATCTCTTATGAAGTCACGTGACATCATTATGTTGTCGCTCAGAATGTTGTTTATCTGTTACGCGATTGGTTGACAAGATTCGATGAAACCAATCATGTTTTTCGTTGCTCCGCAATGGTCGCGCATACTTTTCAGCCATCTTGTTATTTTCGAAAATCTTGAGGTTGGGTTTCGGCGACAACGCAGTGTGGCCGTTTTTCTTGTTTCTCGCTATGAGTGAGTGAAAAAAGGAGTGTACTCCGTTTTGGAATTCATGAAACGAAGGTACGATGAGTTTAAGGTTTCGCGTGGACGATCGGATACCTTCAACGATGAATGCCACCTTTCCTCGTTGATGAACATCGCAAATGTAGCAAAAACGGATGAGGAATGAGCGAGAGAGAGAGAGCGAGAGAAAGAGAGAGCGAGAGAGAGAGAAAGACGTGCGAACGAACGAAGCGAGAGAGTATAGTGCGAGAGAAAGAGCGCGAGAGGGGAGGGGTGTTCGGAGGTAGGGGGTGCTGTGTGGGACAGAGAAGAAATGATAAAAAGGCGGTGAGGAACGGCGAGTGTGTGAAACGAAGAACAAAATTGTTCGCGCGCGGGAATCAGCAGCGGTGTGTTTAATCCTTTTGTGCTTGTGATTTGCACGAAAAGGTCGTGATTACCAGTGCGGAACGTGTGTTTTATACCGCCGAATTGAGAATCTGCGTATGAGAGTCATTGATGTAGGTTTAAAACGACACTTTTGACTTCGATCTATGAACAACGACGCAGCGGGGAAAATTGGGCCCGGGCGACCGAAACGCCGCAGATTTTCAATGTTTTCTCTAAAGATATTTTTTATTCTATTATATCATCATTTCTATCACGAATTTGATCAATTAAATTGTTTGTTTACTCCTTTTACGAACGACAAAATTTGTTTGAGATTGTCAAATGTAGGTTAGGTTGGACGGTCGCAGTGCGGTGACCTCCCTCGCAGAAGTTAGGAATGATTTTCTTCTTTGCATTTAATTTGTGACACATTCTTACTATAAATGTAATTTTAATATATGTTATAAATCGTAAAAATGTTTTCATTTTTCATCATGTATCATAAAACTAGCCAGTTAGAGAAAATCATTCGCTGCTTACATTTATTCATAAATTTACTGAAATATATCTATGTTATTCTTACTTTATGTGCACAGAGTTGCATGTAATTATATAAAAAATATTTGTTGTGTTTAGATAAAGTGTATGAAAGGAAGAAAATTTGTAGTACGGAATGGCAACTTTGGCAGAGCAAGCGTCCAAGCTATTGGACTTTAACCAGAAGTTAGATATAACGCTTCTTGATAATATAGTAGGATGTATGTACACTGGAATAGGGGAGCAACAAAGGGTTGCTCAGGAGGTATTAACTACCCTTAAGGAACATCCAAACGCATGGACTCGCGTAGATACCATTCTAGAGTATTCTCAGGTAATTTTGATTGTGGTATATTAAAACGGAGGTATATGTACATATATATTTATGAGATAATATATATTTCAAATAAAACTATAATAGTATTGCAATGCAAGAACGATATGTTTAATGATATTCATACATATTGCAGTATTCTTATCAAAGAAGTATAATTCAACTCGTATAAAATTATTCCTATATAGTAGTATGTGAAATATAGTTAACATTATTAAAAATTATTATTTGGGATTTTATATAAAAAATTTAGAAATTGCTTATTGTAATGGTTTGAAATATAGACAGATATTTATTAAAAATTCATGTCTATATATATTGTAGATGCTGTATAGGTATAATTCAGTTGAACAGTACAAAAGGGGATAATTGCAGAGAAACAAGACTCAAGAAATCAAATTCAGTATATACAAAATATTAAGTGTAGAATACAATAGCAGCAAACTTTAATGTGTTATTTTTTATTACTCAAATTTCACAAAAAGTTGTAAATTATAATATAATAACATATAGTATTTTCATATTTATATGCAAATGTTTAATGTAATGGATATTTTATATTTTATGAAGTAAAATATTTTACATATCATGTTTGTTGCCACTGTGGGAGTCAATATTTATGGATTTTTTTATTTTAAAGTTGTAGAATTCAAGAGTAGTAGAATGTTTACTTAATTTTTTCTTTCTTTTTTTTTCTAATATAAATTGACAATAAAACTCCTTCTGATATCAATTTGTGTTTCATTAATAAAAGAAAAAACATTGAAAGTTTAAATAAATCCAATAATTCATGTAATATTAAAATTAGAAGAATGGATAGTAGAATTCTTAACTTGTGTAACAATTTAAACGAATATTTACAAGTTTGCTGTTTTGAATCCCATTTTATGCCAAAAGAATATGTTGTTTATGAGATAGATCAAGAGGAGTTTTTATCATGTATTTGTTATTCATATATCATTCTATTTCATCATTTCTACAGAATCAGCAAACAAAATATTATGCCTTACAAATCTTGGAGCAAGTTATTAAGACACGGTGGAAAGTACTACCTAGAAATCAATGTGAGGGTATAAAGAAATATATTGTAGGCCTCATTATAAAAACAAGTAGTGATCCAGAGACAATGGATACTTCTAAAGTTTACCTCAATAAATTGAATATGATCTTAGTGCAGGTAATGCAGTATAATGCATATTAACTATTATTACAAATAATCAAAGATTATGAATTATAAATTGATTTATTATTGATTTGTAGGTATTAAAACGAGAATGGCCAAAGAATTGGGAATCTTTCATTAGTGACATTGTTGGAGCAAGTAAAACAAATGAAAGCCTCTGTCAAAATAACATGGCAATTCTCAAACTTCTCTCAGAAGAAGTATTTGACTTTTCTAGTGGTCAACTGACACAAACAAAAGCTAAACATTTGAAGGATACAATGTGTAGTGAATTTTCACAAATTTTTCAACTTTGCCTGTTTGTAATGGATAATTCACAGAATGTACCATTAGTAGCTGTTACTCTGGAAACGTTATTAAGGTTTTTGAATTGGATACCACTTGGATATATTTTTGAAACTAAACTGATAAATACTCTAATATTTAAGGTATATAATTTATGTTATATATTTCTAGTTTCTACGTGGTATTATTTATATATGTATTACATATATGTTTCATTTTTCAGTTTCTAAATGTACCAATATTCAGAAATATTACACTTAACTGTCTCACAGAAATTGCTGCTGTGACAGTAACGAATTATGATGACATATTTGTTGCATTATTCATAAATACGATGCAACAGTTAGAACAAATGCTTCCACTTGAAACTAACATAAAAGAAGCATATGCAGTTGGACAAAATCAAGAACAAAATTTTATACAAAATTTAGCAATGTTTCTTTGTACTTTTTTAAAAGAGCATGGTCAATTAATAGAAAAGAAGCAATTAAATGAAACATTATTGAAAGCCTTGCATTATCTTGTGTTAATCTCAGAGGTTGAAGAAGTTGAAATATTCAAGATTTGTTTAGAGTATTGGAATGGTTTATTAGCTGATTTATATAAAGATCATCCATTTGTGGCACCTTCACCTTTTATGTCAAAGAATATGACAGTTTCACACAGAAGAGTCTTCTACTGTCCAGTTTTGACTAAAATCAGATATATAATGATCAGTAGAATGGCTAAACCTGAAGAAGTTTTGGTGGTTGAAAATGAACATGGTGAAGTTGTACGAGAATTCATGAAAGATACTGATTCTATTAATTTGTATAAAAATATGAGAGAAACTCTTGTATATCTTACTCATTTGGACTATGTGGATACTGAACGTGTTATGACAGAAAAACTTCAGAATCAAGTTAATGGTTCAGAATGGTCTTGGAAGAATCTCAACACGGTATTTATTTTTTAATTTTTTTTTGTAATATTTGTTACAGTTATCACTTCGTCAATTTTATCTAATATTTTCTCTTTGGATAGCTATGCTGGGCAATAGGTAGTATCTCTGGTGCAATGCATGAAGAAGATGAAAAAAGATTTTTAGTAACTGTAATTAAAGATTTACTTGGATTATGTGAGCAAAAAAAGGGTAAAGACAACAAAGCTATAATTGCCAGTAATATTATGTATGTTGTTGGACAATATCCAAGATTTCTTAGAGCTCATTGGAAATTTTTGAAAACTGTTGTCAATAAACTCTTTGAATTTATGCATGGTAGGTAACGCATTACAAGCTTTAAATTATACATTGTTAATTTTTCATTACCAATTTTTACTATTGACTATTTATATATATATGAGTAAATACAAAAATTTATTAATATCATTTAATATTTATTTTAGAGACCCATGATGGAGTACAGGATATGGCCTGTGACACATTCATTAAGATAGCTTTAAAATGCAGGCGACATTTTGTTACAACACAGGTCGGTGAAGCATTGCCATTTATTGAAGAAATTCTTTCAACAATTAGTAGCATCATTTGTGATCTTCAGACACAGCAGGTAAAGTTTTAGTTTAAAGATTTTATTGAAATTGTTAATAAAAAAAAATCAGAAATTGTATTACATTTATATTCATTTATGCTATATAGGTACATACATTCTATGAAGCTGTTGGATATATGATAAGTGCTCAAACAGATACATTAGTTCAAGAACAATTAATAGAAAAATATATGCTTTTGCCCAATCAAGTTTGGGATGATATTATATGCCAGGCGTCAAAAGTGAGTTCAATTGTAATAACATAAACCTGCGAATAAATATTCATTAATTTTAAATAGAACACATGTAAAGTATGCTAACTATATAAAATATGGATCTATTTCAGAATGTTGATGTGTTAAAAGATCCTGAAGCAGTTAAGCAACTTGCTAGTATTTTGAAAACAAATGTTAGAGCTTGTAAAGCTCTAGGACATCCATATGTGATACAATTAGGAAGAATATATCTGGATATGTTGAATGTTTATAAGGTATTAACATACCATGTAATATAAGTTATTTTAACGAGTTCAGAGAAAGTGATTTAAAAAATAATATTTTAGGTTATGAGTGAGAATATAAGTGCTGCAATAGCTTTGAATGGAGAGACAGTGATGAAACAACCTTTAATTAAGAGTATGAGAGTAGTAAAAAAAGAAACATTGAAACTAATTTCAGATTGGGTTAGCAAATCTCTTGATCCACAAATGGTACGATATTATCATTTTTTATATAGATGGATACCTTTAAAATTAGTACAATAGTGCACAAAAGTGCATTTGAAGAACGCGTTAATGTTATTGTTTATTCTAATACTTTTTAGGTATTAGAGAATTTTATACCACCATTATTGGACGCAGTATTACTGGATTATCAAAAGACAAATGTTCATTGTGCTAGAGAACCAGAAGTACTCAGTGCTATGGCTACTATAGTAAATAAATTGGAAGCTCATATCACTAGTGAAGTACCTAAAATATTTGATGCCGTATTTGAATGCACTTTAGAGATGATTAATAAAGATTTTGAAGAATTTCCCGAACACAGAACAAATTTCTTCCTCTTACTACAGGTAATAATAATAATAATAATAATAATAATATCATATCTATGTTGATATCCAATATCATCACAAAATAATTACGATTAATTTTTGTTTTTCATTTAGGCAGTGAATAATCATTGCTTCCCGGCATTTTTATCAATTCCACCAGCACAGTTCAAGCTAGTGCTTGATTCTATAATTTGGGCTTTTAAACATACAATGAGGAATGTAGCAGATACTGGATTGCAAATCTTGTATCAGCTTTTACGAAACATTGAGCAGCATGAACAAGCTGCACAAAGCTTTTATCAAACATATTTTACAGATATTCTTCAACATGTATTTAGTGTAGTAACAGATACATCGCATACCGCAGGTAAAATTACGTCTTTGTAGATATATATATATATGAATTATTTATGACGTATTTATTCTTTTAAAATATTCTTATAAATACTGTTCTATAGGCCTTACAATGCACGCTACTATTTTGGCATACATGTTTACATTAGTTGAGTTGGGAAGAATACAGGTACCACTTGGACCAGTGCCTGATAATACATTGTATGTTCAAGAATTTGTAGCGAGGTTACTCAGGACTGCTTTTCAACATTTGACTGATAATCAGATTAAAATAACAGTGCAAGGTTTGTTTAATCTTGATCAAGACATCCCAGCATTCAAAGAGCATTTGAGAGATTTTCTTGTACAGATAAGAGTAAGTATTAACCAAAAAGATGATGTTTTTGTAATAGCTAATAATAATGCAAAAGAAAAGTTTTGTTAATTTTTAATTTTTTTTTAGGAGTACACTGGCGAAGATGATTCTGATCTTTATTTGGAAGAAAGAGAAACAGCTTTACGATTGGCTCAGGAAGAGAAAAGGCGACAGCAAATGGCAGTACCGGGTATTCTGAATCCACATGAAATGCCAGAAGAGATGCAGGACTGAATAAACTGTAATCCTTGCCTGATATTTGTGCAAGACCAAACGACAAACACTCTGCTGTAGAAACTATTATATCTGCAACTACTCTCACAACCACTACCACCACTACTACCACTAGTACAGCCACCATCAAAGTGGATACACATTACATATTTATTAAAGCCAAGTTTAAAATATCACACTCTTGTTAATGAGGTAAGCCCAAAACATGGTGACTGTTTGTTTGTCTGTTATAGGATTTTAAAAGAAAAGGAGTTTCTGTTGTGGAAAAAGTGTGAATGCCTGCTTAGCGATGCTATTTCATGTATAAGAAGAGGGTACTTCTCAGAATAAATTATTGACTGATGTTTGTGTAAGAGATGACGTTCATACATCAACTGTCTATAATTAGTGGATAGAAAGAACATGGCAGAATTTTGTAATGGGAAGTTTGTTGCTAAGAGTGACAGAGTAAACATTTTTTGTATTAATGCAACAGCACCGTACATGTGACAACAATGCATTTAATAGTGCTATGTGATAGTTGCATCATCTGGCTCAATGAACACAGTATACTATACGACACTCTTACTTTTACATAGGAGAATTGTGATGTACTGTGCTTTGCGAAACCGTATTCTTTCTACATTTTTGGTCGTATGAGTCTGTTCTAAAATAGAGATTGATATGTATGCGGAGTCATGTGCGATAAATTCTGCTTATACATTGTCAAATGATTTTGTTACAATATAGACTCTACACACAGAGAATTCTTTTTGATTCATTATTAACTTATGATCGCGGAAGAATTAAAATTACATCCTTTTAATTTTATAACTCAAAATCTTATCCTAAAAATATGAAATTTTTTTTTCTTTTAATTTCAAATATTAATCAATAAATATGAGCTTCTCCATCACCTGCAGAAATTACGACTTATATTTTGCTGAGTTACTCTCTTATCTATTTGCTGCTGACTCTAGTATCTAGTAGAGTAAAACATTATCTTTAATTTTTTTCCTTATTTTTTTGTATCGTTCCTTTTTTATAAAGGCAGCTAATTTGTCTATTGATTTATATGTGCATATTCTCTAAAGGATATTAGATTTTAGGTATGATACATAATTTGATAAATACATAAAAAAGTACAATTGACATACATAAAAAAGAAAGAAATATATAACTACCCCAAGATATTTACATGTGATATACTATTTCACGTGCATATAGTAAACACTCGGCCATCAGAAAATAACAAAATGCACAGAGCTATGATATCTGCATGACTTAATGCATTTAGGACAAGTACAAGCAAACTTTAAGTACAATAAAGGATAAAAAATGATTTTGCATTAAATAGTATCGTCGTAGCAGGCTTTTGAGGTAACATAAATGTCCTAGATGAATGTGTGTTTTTATCTGCGTGCAGTTGAACTATAATGCTATTATAGTGCAACATAGTAAAGTGACGTTGTACTGTAATATTATAATACTATTATGCTGTATATATGATCCACTGCGGGCCGTGAAGTGGCATCTTGTAAATGAAAATTAATCACGAAAATATTAGCATTTGTTTATGCTCCACTCTTGCTCAATTCATTGTATATTTAAAAACTTAAAAATCGATGATTTTAAAGATATCCAAGTAAAGCTGTTCCACTTATTATTACGTTCCACTTAATATTGTAAGTTACAAAATTGCAACCATCTTTAAACTATTAAAGGGTAATATTAGCTGGAAGGTGACGTTTATAAAGTGTACAATATATGAATCAAAATTGATAAAATATTTCTTTAATAATTAATATGCAACGTATGATATTTATCTTACTAAATTACATTTCTTAAGTTCATTTAATATCGGGGCCATTAAACAATAGGTATTCGATCTGATTCAGTTAGTTTCAATAATAAGTAGTACTGTACCTAATATTCAATCTTAATTAAAATATGAAGTCTTTATCCTTTTTTTTATGTTAAGGGAACGTTTATAGATATTTGAATGCTCGTAACAGACAAAAGTTTTTCTTAAGAGAGAGAGAGAAAGAGAGAGAGAGGGGGAGAGAAAGAGAGAGAGAGAGAGAGAGAGAGAGAGAGAGAGAGAGAGAGAGAGAGAGTGAGAAGTGGGGTTTTAGAGAGTACATATAACAAGCATTAATTAGATTTCCAAAGTAAATATAAACGCATCAATTATCATTTTCATTGTGTAAAATTTAAATAACGAGAAAGTATAAATATTTTCTATAAATACTACACACTTTTATAATGTGATGTAGGATTGTATGAAGTCGGTACTTTTGATGAATGTTTCAACGTTCTTATGCTTTTTATATGATCTAACACCTTCTATGTGATTCTGGTGTGACTGCATAATATTTCAATGTCTTACATAAATTCAAGTGTTATGTAAATGATCTATTGTAGTTCTAACTTATCGATGCTGTAAATTACATCATATATGTCTTGATTTAGATATGTTTAATAGTTTAAAGATATACAGGCTTGGTATTGTAAAGTGTGTTGGTGTATCACTTCAAATGTTAATTAAATGTCACTTTTCTATTAATCGCAATAAAAAATAGATTGCTAAACTGTTCGTAACTTTAGGAAATAATATATTCTATTTCTATACAATTATTTCAATTTATTAGTTTTATTTATTAATAAATAAATTCAGTATAATTAAAATATAAAATAACAACTTGTTTTGATAGGTATTTAGTGGGTTTAAATTTTTTATTTGAATAAATTTAAAATATAGGAAATTAAAAATTATATATAAATATAAATCAATATTTATAAAAGATATAATCTTTTACTGAAATCATTGTAATGTAATAAATTTTTGTCCTGTAGATTAACGCGGATTAAATAATTACACAGAATTTATAGAGAAAAAGTTGTATTTTGTTATCATTTAAAGTGATACATTTTATGCAAGTTAATTTTCAATTCATTACAGCACACGAATATCAGTAGATTTACAAATTAGTTTTTCACTAAACACAGAAAAATGTAACAGAGATAGATATGCAGTTTCTTCCACTTTCTAAAATAAAATATCCATTTGCAACTTTATAATATGATTTCATTTTATATTAAAATACTTAATAAATCTAAAAAGGACCTTTTTATGTCTGGTTTTCAAAAGAATATTTATTATTAATATTGCGTTCTTTTCTGTAGTGGATGGAATTGGACTATAATAATTAAATAAAATACATAATTATGATTTTCATTTGAACAGATTACCATTGATAATTAGTATTAAAAAAAATGGATCGGAAAGAATCCCTGGGTAGAATTTTCAGTCTATCACATTTGATAATGTTTACGATGTTAACCTAAGCTGCTGGTGATGATTATACCGGAATAGATCATTAAATTGGCATCAATGTAGCTGTATTGTATTATTACTTTTTATAAATTGTATTTATTTACAATTAACCGAAACCAAATTGTACAATTTTTCAAAATATTCCTTCTTTATGCAATCTGTACTTGTAAAAGTAGAGTATATAATGATATACATTATGTAATATTACATAAATGAAAAATAATTCATTTTCATTAAAAGAATTTTTTAAATGTTTGAATTTACACGTATACTATAATTGATATTGTGTTAATGTATATTTCTTAGTGATGTTCACTATTTCTTAAAATGTCCATTGTGATGCATGAATTTGAGAAAACCAATCTGTTTATACAATTTGGTAAAGTTAAATGTAAATAAGTAAATACGGATTAAACAATACAGTTACATCAATGACAATACATTATCACTTTATAAAGTAAATATAGAAGTTTTTAGTTTAAGTATCAATGACAAATGTGTAATGAAATTAAAGGACATGGAATGATTTTTCTTTGATGGTAATTCTCTCTATGTTATCAAATACAACTTTGCAAATATGAAAATGTTGAAGCAGCCTAAGATGTAACCATAAAAGAGTACAATACTGTATGCTCTTTTATTATTCATAAACTCGCATTTCAATAGTGTGCACATTGTAAAAATGTGTCTTGAATCCCCTTGAGCTGTATAATAAGTACATAGATTACTTCCTTTAGTGGATATGCTATTTCAAATGTTTCAGCTTATTTTTAGATTATTGCTAAAAATATAAGATATACATTTTTTGTGTACTAGTATTTTTTAATATAAATATCCATTTGATTTATATATTCATTCTAAAAAGAAGCTGGTTTCAGAAACTTTGCCCTCCATGTAAGTTTACTTAGTTTGGGGATGCATTAGTAAATAGATTTTGTAATATGTTGAGTTAGCATTATTCTATAAAATGTCGAGGGTCGTACGTACGAATAGTCATGAGAAGAGAGTACATAATTATCGAGTGGTACATACTGCGTGTATTGAGAACGAGTGAATGTATTAAGTTAAGAATTCTATCAGTTATTCATGATAACGATAAACTATGTAAAGAGTATAGTAATACTTACTAATAAAATAAAAAATACTATTATAAATACAGTTTATGTATTTAAACATTTTATTTATATTTTCCTCTAATCGTTCGGTGTTAGAATAGAAAATGTTACATATATAATTAATTTTTATTTAAATATATTATATAGAAATGGAATATGTTAAAAGGTATGATCAATTGATAAAAATAAATTTATTATTTTCGATTAACTTTCTATTGTATAATTATAAAACTGTTTTATCGACATAGCAGAGAATAAATTGCTTATAGTTTTCGGGTCGTTTACTCGCAACTTTATCGATATGGTAAATTACATCAAGTATACTCGTGTATATACATTATAATTTACTAATTGTAGTGTAATTTATATATCGTTTTTATAGAAAACTTTTATATCAATTAAAAAAAAAATGCCTTGTTATAGGTACATATTATAAATGAATTTAATAAGGGAAAATTAATATATTTCAAATTTGATTTATGTTCTACGTAGTACACAATGACTATAGAGGGCACTACATTGTTCTTTAACGGTTATTCGTCTTTTTAATTTTTTTGAAGGAAGAGCTCCCGCCTATATGAAGTAAGTAATATTGTATATTTTTAGAATAAAATGCTGCAAACTGATTAATATTTATGTTAAAGTAACATCATTTGATTCGTCGTTATATGTTATGCGCGTTATAAACTATGAATTACATTTTTTCATTGTCTTTACAAAAAGAACAAAAATTCATCGTCAATTGACGGTTCACATACATATCTACAGTAAACCAATAAATACTATATGCAATTACAATTCATTGGTCAATTATTTATTAATCAATTATTTTCTTAAATTTTAATAACTCAGAATATTTTAAAGAGGGCGATAAACGTCGAAGACAAAAATGCAATCCTTTCAAGGCTTATCAATCATATTATAAATCACTAACGATATAAAGGTACCTATATAATATATCTTTTTCTATAAATTACACATATTTTTTTTTTCTTTTAATATTAATTTTCAATCGAAAATTAGTAGTACTGATGTATTTTTTCTTTTCTCTATTTAGCTTAAAGTAATCACAAATTAATATCTATTACAACAAATCATAATACTTATATTAGATAGTAATAATTATATTATTCTTTATGAGTTTTTGTTAATTTTTATTATAATATAATAGTAATGGACGTTTTTTTTTCTTTCTTTCAGACTTCTTACGAATATGTATCAAAAATTTTACATCGTGTTGGGACGTGTTATATGAACGAGCGACGAAGAGAAGTCCATCAAAGAAGTCAAGCTTTCCGTGGAGGAAATACGAGAAGGGTGCATGCCGCCAATGAATTCGAGCTCCGCCTACCAAGCTGTGGTAGGAAACAACCCCTAAGTATCAAAAGCCGCGCAGGACTGTTTTCGACGTCACGATGTGGGCGTAGACAGATCGGAGACACAACCCCTCGGAAGAGAGAGAGAGAAAGAGAGGGAGAGAGAGAAAGAGAGGGAGAGAGAGAGAGAGAGAGAAAGAGAGAGAGAGAGAGAGAGAGGACGTAGTCTAGGAAAACGGGGGATGTCTTTTCCGCGACTACCCGAAATCAAATCACTCGATTCGGAATCAGTTCTCTTCTCGAACTTCGTGACGTTCGCGGTGACAGAATCGAATCGAAAGCACATCGAGAGAATTTCTATATCTATCACTCGCTCTTCGTATATATTTTTGCATCCGTTAATATTTCTTCTTTTTTTTCTTCCTTGTTGCGTCAGGGTGTTGGTGGTTCATCTTTCTCTTTCTCTTTCTCCTTCTCTTTCGCTTTCTCTTTTGCTTTCTTTTTCTCTTTTTCTTTCTGTTACATTTAAATCCTTCATTCTGGTGAGTCTCTTCATAACGAGCACGATAAGTCTTGGATAACAAAGAAAGTGTAATAAACGGTTAACGATGAACCTCCCCGATCAGGAGGTACCCGCTGCTACCGCAAATTTGGGGAGATTGGTATGTTGGTATTAATGATTTATAATATATGATCTATGATAGAGAGCGTGTGTTATGCGTTAAATATTTTCATTAATTAAATTAATATGTAAAATTGAAAGAAAAGACAGAGTAGAATACATTATCATGATGTGATAATGAATAAATATTTCCTTTATAATATTTATATATATTGATTTGCATTAATTACATAAAAGTATTATGTTAATAAGAATTTTAATACTCGATTATGTTTACGTATTATCGATACATTAAATCATTACGGTCTTTACAGTATTATATATAGTATTATATTGGGTCGAGTTATCAATCGAGATTTTTGCCGACGCATGTATGTATCTTCATCGTATGATTATATATTATTTAGAAAAATTATATTTGAAGATACAATTTATATTTTATCTTAAACGAAAACATGACGGAGTACGCGATATTTTATAATATAATTATATCATGAAGTATCGGTATTGCATCGTAATATATATATATATATATATATATATATATGTATATATATATATATATGTATATATATATATATATTATATATTATATATATATATATATAATATATATATATATTTTATATATATATATATATATATATATATATATAAAAGAAAAGGAAATCGAAAAGATAAAAATAATTATTTGTTAAATTTTGAAAGAAAATTATAAAAACCATAAAACATAAATTTTTCACTTAATGAGTGAAAGGAAGTCACGTTGCGGATTGAATACTACTGGTAGAACTTTTGTCACCGTAAAGTCACTCAACTTTACAATGGAGATCATATAGTGAAGCGTAGCAAAACATAATGTACTTTCCGAACGATGATCCTCGACTACCAAATTGCCCTGGCACGCGACTCCACGCATCGATGGCTCGTCCCACGGGTGAAACCCCTTTGTGTCTTCTAAACACGTAATTGTCACCACCGTTCGAACCATCGAATCCCCCTTGTATATATATATGTGTGTCTGCGTTGCTTGTGTTTGTATGTGTAAAAGTCCCTCTATCATTTTCTCTACATAGAAAAAGCTTTTAACGTGGGTTGGTCAGTATCATTATTTTCGTTAAGGTATAATGTGTTCTGTTATCGCGTTAAAAATTCAAACGAATTTTGTATGATTAGGATCATTGAGAAAAATGATAAGATTTTTATATATACATTCGAATTTTTATAATTTATATCTAATTTCCTTCATTCAATTAAACGTTTTCTAATCAATAATATATTATATAATCAGTCGCGATAAGAAATATTAATGACATTCGAAAGTTTAAAATTTTGATGCTGTCGTAACGGTGATATATCTATAACTTCTAAGCTACGGGTGGTCGATGGATACCCTATGTTAGAAAACTATAGAAATGAGGGGGTGAATGGGACATCGTAGATCTCTCTCGAAATGTTGCTTGATTTATGTTTTTCTATTCGAATAATCAGCCGATTCCCACGTACTTTACTCACGTAGTTGTATCACCGCTTAATTGACTCTTGTGTTCGAGTGCATATGATACCAGTTGGATTTCCCATAAGGGAATCGGAAAAGGGAGGGGTGACCCTGCTCTGTTTGTCAGCTCGTAATATATATCTATTCAACAATGATCATCTAAAATAATTTCTTTTCCAAAGTTGTCCTAGAGTTTTTTACTTTTTTTTGTACACATAAAACACTATTAGTAGAAATATTTATTTTGAAGATAAGAAATCTTGTATCATTTTCTTTGTCAATTTCGAAGAGAACTCAATCACTGGATGTGATACTTGTCTTCGATAGTTGGCTTGTTCGCGTTGACAAGTATTGTTCGTGTTAGACTGGTTAGAACTTAGATTCATCATTGTTTTCGCACCCTCTTTTCTTGTTAAAGGTAAAGAGGAAATTCGTATCAAAGTGGATAAACTTCTTTCTCCCGTTTCTTTATAGAAACGAATTAAAGTAACGACGTTCAAGTAAGAAAGAATGAAAGATTCGGTTTATTTCATAAAATAAATGAACTCATTTTTAATAGTATTAATTTCCTTTCTTATGAATCCGTCGGACAAATCGAGCGAATCCGAGGTCAGAAATCTGTTTGCGTACCATCGTTTTGTCTATAAGATGACTTTATTATAAAGCGAAGCGAAGTGCGCAATTACGAGGGTGGGGTAGTTATGAAAATCAAGGGGGTATCGAACCCTCGCAAACTCGAGAAGAACGACGGGGCGTTCCCCTCTCGATGTTCATAAGCATCTCCTTTTCACGAAGGCCCGAAAGAGACGAACGTGCATATTTATTCTGTTTCTCTCTCTCTCTCTTTTTCTCTCTCTCTGTTACGTTGCATCACATATATGCGTACACGTTTATCTATATATATATACGAACACGTGCGTAACGTTACTACTGCCGTTGTTCCTGCATTGACACTTAACATTCGGTTGGGTCATGAACGCATCCGATGGGAAAAGTCACGGGGGACCATACGTTAAACGGCACGCGGCGATGTTTGCACTTTCCGCTTACGAATCATTACCGCGTTAATTCGTTCAATTGATTTCGTCGTCGATGAAAAGTAATTCGATAACATCGAATAAGCAACTTTTTATCTTTTCGAAAAGTTTGTACCTCTTTCTTTAAATTATCACTGATGTGTGAATGTTATGTTAAATAGCATATCGTCTTTGCAGATTCTTTTTAATAATAATCACGTAAAAATGAAAAGCGTTAAATAAGATATGATAGGAATGTATTCTTTATTTTTTTTTTTATCTTTTTTCTTTTTTCCTTTCTTTTTTGTTTACGAGGAAGGTGTTATTAACGATTTAATCTAAGAATATCAGTGAATTTAATTAAGATTTATGTCTTGGCACGTGCCACGTGGATTTAATGTCTTCCCACAGTCATAAGGTCGATTAATTTACGAATCTCTGTTAATTAGAGCTGACGAAAAATATTGGAAAGTAAGAAAGAAGGCAGATAGAAAAAGAGGGAGATAGAGAGAGAGAAAGAGAGAGAGAGAGAGAGAGAGAGAGAGAGAAAAAGAGAGAGTGAATAAAAAAAGTGAAGAAGATTTGATAAAAATATTATCGGTAAAATATTTCTCGTGTTAACATCATTAAAAACACTTATTTATTGTAATAAACTTATTAATTATAAAAAATCATTATTATTAAGATTAATGAATACTGTTTATGAAATAATATTTATATCTGTAACTTCCTTATCGATTCACTTAAATCCGAATCGGAGTTTAGGAAAGGAATAAAATCAGAACGTCTAGTCAAAATTCGTGATATCGAAGGTGCCCACAACGTTATCGGAATGCGCGTTAATAACCGAGAATTCCCGAAACCGGTAATCAAGTTTACCACAAGATTGCTCCGCAAGGAAGGACCCATCCAATCATTCACCGGATGTCCTCCGTGCCGCATCTCATCTTTCTTCCTTTCCCCACCATCTTTCTCTCTCTCTCTTTCTCTCTCTTTCTCTCTCTTCCTTAGTACCACTTTCTCTCTCTTCCTTACTACCACTTTCTCTCTCTCTCTCTCTCTCTCTCTCTTTCTCTCTCTTTTTCTCTTCCTTTCTCACTTTTCTCCCTTTTCTCAACTTTCTTGATAGGCTTGTCGTCTGTTTCTCCAACACACTTTGATCGGTTTAGTTTCATCAAAAATTAATATCAAATGATTTTGTCAAATTACTAATAACATACATACATATAAACAATATTAGATCGACTGAGTTTGCATTTTATTTCAGCCATCGGATGACTATGGAAGATTAGCTGTACCGGTGCAAACGACGAGCAGCGACTATTGTTCTCACAATAATTATTCAACGTCTCAGACGACGAACGACGAGAAAACCCAAGCTGGTGAGTATTCAAATCTTAAGATAAAATTTATAATTTACAAGAGAGAAAGAGAGGGAGAGAGAGAACGAGAGAGAGAGAGAGAGAGAGGGAGAGAGAGAACGAGAGAGAGAGAGAGAGAGAGAGTTTAATGTAAAATCCAGGTAAAGGGCGGAGAAACGTAGAACTAGATAGGACAACATGGTTTATCGATTTTTCAAGATGAGATAAAAGCTGGCGAAGGAAAGGAAGGAGGGGCAAAGAACGAGCGAAGAAAATTCTATCTCTCTCTTTCTCTTTCCCTCTTCCTCTCTCTTTATTCTATGGTATATTTCTCTTCTATGAGATTGAAGCTTTTGATAATATCACGTTGTTCGACCTCTTCTTATTGCGGCTGAACTATCAGGTCGCGAAGTTTCCAACGTATCTTAAACCAGTAAACGTCGCGAACACATAAGAAAAGTGTGTAGACGTTGAAGGCTCGATTAGAAACACGCATAGAATGTATGGGAAGGTGGAACGAAGTGAGATAGAGAGAAAGAGAGAGAGAGAGAGAGAGAAAACATGGATCGACCCCCGAAGAGAAGCTGTCACTCGCAGGCTGTCGAGTCGATATCTTTATATAGTTGCATCAACGACGATATTATTTTCTACGGTTCGTCGCTCAGGATTATACTCTGTCGTCGATCGAGACGATGTGGTCGAGTCTAGCGGGCAATTATAGACAAAATCATCCTTTCAATTGCCTTTCGTCGCGAAAATGAGAATTGTCGAGTGGGGTCCACGTTTATTGTATTATCAAACTGAAACACCGAATGATGATCGTACGAATCACATTTATGATCATATTATATGTAATAAATTTCATCGAATATTTTTCTAAAATTTCTATTTCGTATAGTATTTAATTATACAAACAATATATAATGTATATTGTTCACACGTTCTGCAAAATTTTTTTTCTTCGATTATCGATCATCTATAAAATATATTTGATTTTTTATTTTCAACATTCTTGACCCAGTAACATATATACATACATACATACATAGGATCGTGCATTCTCAATGAAATTCGATAAGTAAGAAATTATCAATGCGAAAGAGGCTCCCCGGTGTTTCTTATATGTAGGAGCAAGTAGCATACGCGTGACCCTCCTGTTCGTAAGAACCCTATGGAAATTTAGCTTCGATGATTGACACTTTATATCTAGCATCGGCACGCTGTGGTGTGAGACGGCAGTCAGGATGGACCACCTCCGCCTAACTCAATCAGCACCTATAACGCCGCAATTTCTCTATCGTAATCGTATTACGCCCTACCAACCGTTCCCATTCATTCTTCGGCTCTCGTGATTCTGCATTGAAAAATGTTACAACGTTACCGAGTCCTGGGAAGTGAGTGTCACAACGCGTAAAGTATTCACTAAGATTCTCGAATATTTTCGATCATCAATAAAGGCAACCCTCGAGCTTTATTTTTTATTTGAAATTAATTTGCTTGTTGTCTTTTTTCTTTCTTTTCTTTTTTTCCCCCTTTAAATAAATGTCCCGTAGAAATGAATGTTAACGAAAGATAAGTTTGACGATTTTCTTATTTCTCGTTATATCATTTTCATTGAAAGGATAGCTGATAGAAATGTAGTATCATTATCTCTAAGCAATGAGCTGAAGCTTAAATAGATTCGATTCGTTGGACGGGATTCTGCGTACGAACAAAACAAAGTTACCAACGAGTGGCTACCCATGGCGAATCTTGAGATCCATTAAACGCACCCCATGTCATACGGTATCCTACGATATATTCTTATGTATGTATGTTCTCGCATTGAAGGGTTCGTTTTTGCTTCTGATTCATCCATTCGCTTTCTTTTCTAGCACGTCTTTCCTCACATCACCATTTTATTTCTCACTCCGTAATTATTTTTCTTATCTCTTATTTGCACTCTCGTCGATTCGACTTTTTTCTTTTTATCTTTATTTATTTCTCTTATTTTTAGATTATAATCAAATTTTTATTTTATATTTATTGTGTGTATTTTTATTTTATATATATATATATATATATATATATATTAGTTTATTATTGTATTGATCAAATATTAAATGATATTAATTTTTTATTACAGGAAATGAATTATATCCTCCTCAAGATTATACGAGACAAGAGTCTTGGCTTCATGATGGTAAGTTATAATAAACAATAATTTAAAGATCTGTATAAATAATGTTTTATTTATTTATATATATAAGTAGGATTGACCAAATAAGATACATATTGCAACTAGACAAACAGCCGCCTGGATAGCTCAGTCGGTAGAGCATCAGACTTTTAATCTGAGGGTCCAGGGTTCGAGTCCCTGTTCGGGCGATTATTTTTTTGTTTCGTTCTTCTTTTTTTTATTTCAAAGAAAATAAAATGAAAAAACAATCGAATGGTTATTATTATGAAATAATATAAAAATATTTAAAATTAAATAATATGCACATATATGTGTGATAAAAATGTATAAAAAAAATAAAAAACCGATAAGATTTTATAAGATACAATTAGTTTATTATAATTTTTATGTTTTTAATATGAATTTTAGAGTATAAAATAATTCGTTTATTATTAATGGATTATTTTTATAATTTGAAATATATCCATTGTGGAATATAATATTATACTTAGAATCACGATGGTTCGATAAAAATATACGATAAACTCGTCGATACACTTTTGTAGATTTTTTTTTGTAAACATCGATCTTTGATAAATCATAGAATATTCACATGCGCGCACATATATACATATGCCACATGTGCGATGATATTGCTTATCTTATAAATAGCTCTATGAGTAATACCAAAATATATCTGATGATATTATATAAGTATCATTTTCTAAAGCAAAAATTATTTCTTGTATATCCATTTTATTTAAACCTGTTACTTTGTTAGATAGAGTATCTATTGGATCAATAGTTTGAACATGTACTAAAGAAAACCTGACCCTACTTGTGTTATTTTTCTAATTGAAGTTCAACGTATTGAAGCCCATTAGAAGATTAGATTCTGAAAATGACAATCGGTACCACGGCGTGCTGAGGTGTCCGTTCATCTATTAGCCATCCAATTTTTAAAAGTTTCGTTTTATTTTCCACGTCGACGGATATGCTGTTTTAGAAAGTGCTACTAGCGATAATGAAAAATGTATCTTTCTCTATTTTTTATATATCTTATTCTTTTTATATTTCTACTTTCTATTTTTCTATTTCCTTTAAAATCTTCTATTTATTATATTAAAATCTCTATTTTTTATCTGTATTTTTTTTGTTCTTTTACACATGTTCTGTTATCACGTAAAAGTTTAGCTCTCTTAGATAAAAACTAATTATCATACGATCATTTATATGATTTTGTCGGAATTGATTATACATATGCAGCGTTCAACTGGTCAGAACATTAATTTTAATTAGGTTTTATTAATACTGTAGATATAATGTAATAGACGCGAAGGGAAACCTGTGACAGGGTTTGAGAAACACGTGGCTTAGACAAACGAACTTATATTTTAATCATAATCGGTTTGATAAAATCCCCCTTCTATCGTTGCTTACAATCAATATTTATTTGTAGTGTTTTTATGTATATATTTTTCTAGATAAAATATCAACAATACCTAATTAAATGAAATCTATTTTTCTTTTTTTTTTTTTTCTTTTTTCTTTCATTTACAGGTAGCAGTTGCGAAACGGAGGGAAGCGAACAGTACGTGCCAGAGTTTCATCAAATACCAAGTTAGTGTACGATATTAGAAAAATATTAATTTGTTAATACATTTTCCTTTTATTTCTAACATCAATTTTAAAAGCATCGAATCGATACATTCAACATTACATGCTAATTACCTGTTCACTACGACCCTATATCGTAAGTGGATCTAAAATTACCGCTGTTCCTAATCCGAAGGAAGTTAATCTCCAAATGAATCGATGTTTCGTGGAAATACTATTCTATCCTACAACAACATGCGTCTCCGACGAAATTGTCTGTTCTACATTTATGGGCTAATAAATTAATTGACGTTTCATATATAATCTTGCATATAAAATCTAATTTAGTATAAACGATTAAACGAATATATCGATATTTACATAGAACGAAGATAAAGCAAAATTTTTCATTGAATTTTCTTCGTTAAACAATTAATTGGAAATTATTTCGATTATTTTCATTTATGGTCATTCAAAGTTATTTTAATGAACTCAACTAAATCGTTCAAAAGATGAGATAAATACTTTTTATCGTAGTTGAATCTCTTTTTCCCTCCTTCTCTCTCTCTCTCTCTCCCTCTCTATTTTTTTCTCTTTTTTTTTGCACCCACTCTCGCGTTCCTGAATATTCACCGTGTAGATTCAGGTAGAGTGGTATGAGAGGAGAACGCAGGAGTTTTTATTAAACCAACGCGTTAGCTCGCTCGAGGGTGATTTCTTCTTTCTATTTTTTAAAGCGGGAGAGAAAAATCAACACTAGTGCTTTAACGCCGCCGATCATCGATATCGGATTATGCGAGTAAGCACTTTATATTAAGCCAGAGGGTTTTCCTCTTTCTTTTTAACGTACTTGTTTTAACATACGGACCAGTTAAACGCTCGCTTCATGATTAATAACGTAAAAGGCGGCTGTTGAAAGAGAGTGAGAGAGAGAGAGAGAGAGAGAGAAAGAGAGAAAGAATGAAGGAGATCGAATATATTCAAATTATAATTTCGGATAAAAAGAAAATTAAGTTAGGATATATATAGGGTGAACCATAGGAAAATTGAAAATATTGATTGGTAATTTTTATTTTTTAAGGTACTGGATAATTTATAATAATAAATAAATCACAAGCTGATTTGATACTTTCTTTAAATTCGTTTAGAAAATATCGAATATGTAAAAATTTATTAAAGTATTTATATTGCGTGGTACACCCTATAGATCGGAAACGTTTGGTTCGTGTAAATAACCAAAGGGCTCGCATTTGATGAACATGCATACGTATCTTATTCCTTCAGACTTTGCAGTTTGATATTTGCAGAATGAATTAAATTCGATGTAATTTTCATTTCTTTTCTCAAAAAACCATTTATATCCTACGATATTATTAAATCTCTGTGATTTAATTCTTTATTATTTAATTATATTACATAATATAATTAATAAAACTGTCGAACTTAACATATTAATTAATTCGGTTTTAAGTTTATTATCTGGTAACTCAAGTAAACATTTGTATTTAATGATATGCGTTCGAATGATCAACCAATCGTTCGAGGGGTAGTTTAAATAACGAGAGGGATGTATTAATATACTCGATTACATTTAGGGCCAATCAGATTTGTCTTCTTCGATGATATCATTTATTCGATCACGATGAATGATTTCATTGATATCTTTCAAGAACACTTGTATCAAATTTATTTATGTTAATTAAAATGCATAATCATTTGAAATATTAATGATTAGTAGAAAGGAAGAGTATATTAATCTCTTAATATATAATATAGTTATAATACATATCGTATGGACATAAATTTATATGTACAAATTTTTTTGTCTCTTTTTCTTTCATTTTCTTTAATCATCGATAATAAATGATAGTTTCCAAGTATATATACGACATATGTTGAAAATAATGTCTCGTATTATACGTTTTCTACATATTTATAATAATTTGTCGACTTAAATACTTTTCTTTCTATCTCTCTCTCTCTCTCTCTCTCTCTCTCTCTCTCTCTCTCTCTCTCTCTCTCTCTCTCTCTCTCTCTCTCTCTCTCTCTCTCTCTCTCTCTCTCTCTCTCTCTCTTTCTCCTTCAATCTCGTAACAGTAAACTTCCGATGTTTACAAATACAATGATCGCCGGAGGTCTCTGACTTACGCTTCCCACGGCTGGAGTCTGTTTGATTTATCGAAGGGCCGCGCCCCTCGTCCGCGCAAAATCGTCGGCATCCCCCATTAAGTTAGCTCTCATCCCCTTGGTTCCCTTACCCATGTGTCTTCTCTTCGTTTCAGGTCTTCTCCCTTTTTTTTCTTTTTTCTTTCGTCTTCCACGTGCCAGCGCTGCAACGATGCGTCTTCTCTTCCGGTCCTGGCACGTGCGTCTCACAGAAACTGACTTTCTCCTGCTATCATCTATGACTTTCTATACTTCTCCCTCTCTGTCTCTCTCTCTCTCGTTCTCTCTTTCTGTCTTTCTCTTTTTCTTCTCTTTTCTAGTCTCGCCCTTCTTCCAGCGAAAAAAGGGATAATCACTGCTTTGCACTTGATAAACGATAATGACATGCACTCGAGCAAAGGTGATCCATTTCGGAAATGGCAGAGCAATATTGTATACCGAATAGATTCATCTTTATTTTACAATTTAATGTTTAGAAAATATTCGTGCTTCTCTTTTTTATTTGTTATATAATATATTAAATTGCCCGGAAAGTTTGTGTACCTGTTTTTCTCTTTAATCTTTAATCTTTAATGAAACGCGATATTGGAACGTATTACTAAATTACAACAATAATAACAACAACAATAACAATAATAGTTTTATAAAGAATTAATATATAATACGTATTTATGAATCTAATGAATAAAGAGTAATGCTGAGTAATGAATGAATGAACGAATGAATGAATAAATGAATGAATTTGGGATATACTTTGAATAATCTACTTTGTTTTTATTTTATATTTTCAGATGGTTGCGTGAAACAGGAATCGGGGAATTGTGAAAGGTCCCGGGAAGCTCTTTACCATCCTCAATACACAATTTCCGTCGCACATCCATCCACCCTTAATACTAATTTTCTCGATATAAATCCCAGTACTCCAGCTGATTGTTTCGTGTGAGTATGTTACAAAAGTGTTTTTTTTTATTGCTAGATATTTTTTATTATAGATAATAAAAATGGATCTTCTCGTTGTTCTTAGAAACAATAGGCTAAGTCCGCAGAAAAGTGAATCTTTAAAGAATGTTGCCGTAAAAGAAGAACCGACTGATAAGGGTTACCTCGAGCCGGTTTCTGTTTCCACTATTTCGTCTTCGATAACTCAGAGCTCTCAGAACGGTAAGATTATACGAAGATTTTATTTATTTATTTTATTTATTTTGTTTGTAATTAATAATGATATTCATGAATTATATATATATTTTTTTTCATATATTATAGTGTCTAAAAGGAAGATAGTATATTAAATGTCAATATTAAAATTCATACCATGACAAATTTCTATAGAAAAGATTCACGCACCATTGTTCTTTATACGGTTCATAAATAACTGGAATAAGAGGGTGACGATTCTACTATACTATCCATTTATTGACTCATCACAAACCGAAACTAATATACTATGAGAAAATCATCCGTCGATGTTATCTCCTTGGTAGAGAGTTCATTTTTCATTTCATTCGAGAAAAGTCGATTATTTTTTTCTTATATATATATATATTTTTTTTTTCTTCCTTTTTCTTTTTTTCAAAGAGAATACAACGAATAATCGAATGATATATTTCATATATAAAACGAAGAAAATTTGATAGCTTCCTGGTGAAAAGTAATGTAGTTTCTCCCTTGAACGGTGAATAAACTCATGCATTGTTCTAAGTATGCATAATTGAATAATTGAAGACTGCTTTCAACTCTCGAAAGCCGTGGAAAGCGTCTCCTAGAATTCAGCGAAAGCTGCTGGGCGAAGTACAGAACTCCAGATGCTCTCCCGTGGGAGATTGAACGTCGAAAGCTCTTTCATGGTCCAGTAGTGAAATGTAACAATTCAAATAAGAACGAGTAGATATGATTTTCTAAAATATCCTGTTTCAAAAAGCACATCTTCTCTCTCTCTCTCTCTCTCTCTCTCTCTCTCTCTCTCTCTTTCTCTTTCTCTCTTTCTCTCTCTCTCTCTCTCTCTCTCTCTCTCTCTCTTTCTCTTTCTCTCTTTCTCTCTCTCCCTCTCTTGTAGACTTTAAAATCAGATTCTGCTTTAAAAAATTAATTTACTAAGAAATATAAAATTATTATTAATTTAAGAAAATAATATAGCATAACTAAACTGTTATATAGGTTTTAAAAAATACTCGCCTTTTCGTTAATAATTTAAAAATTTTTCTATCATTTGATATCCTATCTAATTAGAATGGAAAATGATAAATAAGGTAAATAGAGGTTACAAATGACTATGAAAGGCTGAAATCAAGGTTTGCAAGCTCATGCTCTATAATCTGTCCGATTAGTCTTTACGCACACAAGGATAACGAATCCTTTAGGAACTCGTTTACTATATCTATCCATCAGCACGATGTGTATCGCGATACCCACCTACTTCCAAGTCACTAGGGAATTTTGCTACGGCCTCTCTTCAGCTAATTCTCCCTACCATTAACCGTTTCAATTATTTAGACGTAGTTTACGGTAATAATAGGATGAATCCTCTATCGTTGCTATCGATGATAGCTTTTATTCGGCTTGTTACACCATATTAAATTCATTATAAAAATAAGAAAAATGAAAAGCGATATATATATATATATTTTTTTTTTTTATAACGTCAGATCAATACTTTTCAACTGATGATTCTCATTGATATGATTCAAATTAATCTAATTTATTTCGTGAACTTATGTATCGTAACGTTAACATGTCCAATCGCTCTTCTGCGTTCAACGCTTGTTTCAAAATAATGAACAGAATAGTAATAACCTGTTAATGGATACCAATTGTTCGTATTCCAGTAATTAATCCGTACGATTCCCAAGGATTACGAATCGGTGATCGCGATTAGTTTTACATGTATCTATAGATCGATCCAGTACCTAATTCATAACAAATAGGAATATGCGTATCTATAGAATGCACATTATAATAATATTTTATGATCATTATTATTCGTACTTGAAGAAAATTAAAAGAACGAAGAAGTATATTGCTTTGGGTCAAGACAAGCCATTTGGCAAGCAAAGTAGATGTAAAATCGTGCTTGCATTATTAATTGAGCACAGCGCCGGAATTCGGGACTGACAATGAGAGACAGAGCGAGGAAGAGAGAGAGAGAGAGAGAGAGAGAGAGAGAGAGAGAGAGAGAAAGAGAGCGAATAGGAAATAGGGAGGGCGAAAAAGAGCAAAAAGGAGCGATACCTTCTCTCGTTTCTGAGAATGGACGAGTGTAGGCCGTCCTCTTACGCGAACAACCCTCGTGTGCGCCGCCCCTGACCACCCCTGGCCTCGCAACCCTTTACCTACCCTAGTGAGCACAACGCCGCCAGTTTCATCAGTTCGTGATTAATTTTAATTTAAAACCACCCGCAAAGCCTCTGGTCCTGCTCTCACCGACCTAGGACCAACCCCTTTCCATCCTCACTCTCCTACTCTCTTTGGAGAGAGAAAGAGAAAGAGAAAGAGAGAGAGAGAGAGAAAGAGAAAGAGAGAGAGAGAAAGAGAGAGAGAGAGACAAAGTGGTAGATTAGCCCTGGAGCTTCCATTCCCTTCCCAAAAGCTCCTCTCTTCGAATACCCACGATCCAACCGACGTTTACCGTGGCAGGTAAAGTAAAACGCCAGTTATAGTTGACTTTCGTGAACCTTCCTGTTAATTCTCTCTGCTGGGCTCTGTGGGAGATAATAATGATACGAGGGGGATAATGTAATGTGATCACTGATTCGGCCAAATCAGTGAGTTATCTTGAATGAGAATAAAAGTAGATTAATAGATTTAAGAATCGATTATATATAATATACGTATCTATATATTAGGCGAATATACCAAAGTTCAGAAACAAACTACGTGCTAAATAATAATCAAGCACATGCTGAATCTCAGAGAGAAACTTCACGAGGTCACGATATTTCATCGTAGCGAATAAGTCTCGGCATCAGAGCTTTCTCAATTTTTCAATATTCCCCTGCACGACTTGAAGCGTAACCGGATTACGGTTCGAGAATGGCTTTTTCGGGAGCTATGGTGCCGGAGTAAAGGGGGAGAACGAGGTGGAGGAGTCGGGGTCGGAGGTAGCGATGGTTGCGTAGTCGTTGCTGGTGATAGTGGTGGTATGGTGGTGTAGCCTTCGAGAGCACAGCACCCGATTAATATACATATCGCACGAGCTGTACGCGGGATTTCAGAGGTACCACGACGCCAACGCTATCCGCTTGCTCGTCAGAGCAAGCCAGAGCAACCCCGTGGGCTTTGAATATCAACCAATTTCCTGCCGATATTTGTGTGACGAGCACTTCACCAGCGACGGCGCGTGAGTGCAATTGCCAATGCGTTCCTCTACGTTTTGTCTTCCTATTTTTCCATCCTCCATAACGCTTTTCCATCTATACGGATCTTCTTCTTCTTTTTCTTTTTTTCTTCTTTCCTTTCTCTTTCTTTTTCTCTCTCTTTCTCTGCCTCTCTCTTTTTCTCTCTTTCTCTCTTTCTCTCTTTCTCTCTACTCTTGTCCACGCGTAACGATGAACGTAAGGGAAAAGAAACAATGAAAGAACAATCAAAACGTACATACATATCGTCCTAATGGACGACATGATTTTTTTAGTAACAGATTCTAACCAAAGCTTTTTTCTTTTACAGTAAACAGCTTGGTTTATCCGCAACAACAACAACAACAATACGGGATTGGTACCAGAGAAAGTAGAAGTTCACCGATACCCAGTCGACCAGCCAGTGCTTTTTCCGGTACATCGCAATGGCAACCACCTATTTCGACTCCGTCAGAAAGCTTTTTACCGCGACAAGAAAGCTGGACGTCCGATGGCTATGGAAAACGTAGTATAACTCCGACCTGGACCGAATTAGGAGTTCAAGCGGAATCGAGAAATTCGTCGTGGGAACGACAAAATAATTGCTTGCAAAAACGAGGATCACCATCATCTTCGTGGAGTTCGGAATACATTAGCAAGAGGCCATCGTCGACTAGTGCGACAACTACTTGGAGCGATGTGACAGTTGGCTATCAACAACAAAGACGAGGATCTCTTCAGCTTTGGCAATTTCTTGTCGCACTGTTGGATGATCCAACGAATGCACCTTGTATCGCTTGGACCGGTCGTGGCATGGAATTTAAACTTATCGAACCGGAAGAAGTCAGTAATTTTTAATAGATACTTTCTTGTAATTTTTTTAATCGACTTATTAAATTTGATTAAAAATCATTATTATAGGTAGCGCGTAGATGGGGTGTTCAAAAAAATCGACCGGCAATGAATTATGACAAATTAAGTCGTTCCTTAAGGTATTATTATGAGAAGGGGATAATGCAAAAGGTGGCAGGGGAAAGATATGTTTACAAATTCGTATGCGATCCGGAAGCTCTTTTTAACATGGCTTATGGAACTGGAGGAACTCCTGCACTTTCCACCGAAGTCCATAGTAGCATGGTAAGAACGCACACAATGTCGGGAAAGACGTGTACCACAAGTGACATAACCGAGCTTGGTAAACATTCTACAACCGGTTATGGTGATGCTGTTCTTGCTATGTATTCGAACACGGCTGCAGGTTGGTGATCAAAGTGTTTGTATTTAATGATTATTTCTACTCGTTAAGAGTTTCTAAAACTCTAACGATGTTCTTATATCGTGTTTTATTACTTATGAAATTAACGCTATGATTAATATTTATCATTTACAACAGTTTATGGACCTTCCACTTTGCATCATCTGCATCAATACTTGGGTGCTAACGAAGATTTTAAAACACCGACTACCAGATATCATGCGCATTACTCTGCGCAATACGATAATCATCATCACCATCATCACCACCATCATCATCACCATGCTACTTCAGCTTATTCAGAAACTTTTATAAATTATGGTCGATTATCAACGCTAGAACATCCCCTTGACATCAGATCCCAAGAACAACCAAATAAAACTTCGTATAATCATGAAGGAGAGAATATCAATAGAGAACGAGAAAACTTACCGATCAGCTACGAAGATACGCAGAGATCACAGTTACCAGCACCGTCGGCAACAACGGAAACTACAATATTGGATAGCAGTACGAATTCGAAAATCGAACAAGCACCATATGCTTGTTTAGGCGTTGGTAGCTGCGTTTGTTGAAGATATACAAATTTCTTCCCTATCCTGAATGTTCATCGATAACGAGTTGAATGTTCTTTGTCGAAAAAAAAAAGAAACAAAAAAAAATAAGTTTCCTTCACCAATTTTTCGTAGATCCCCGTGTAAATATATTTATTCTTTTGCATAAGTCTTCGATGAGATGGGAAAGATTTGTTTAGTTAGAAATTATTATTTTGTCGAAACGAAGATTGAACGTAATAGAACATTCTCTAGATAGAAAATTTCGTTCTTCTTTTTTTTTTTGTCAGATCTGATACGATATGTTGTAATTTATTCTGTAAATAGGCTAATATAATAATTAACTTTAGCAGGCTTTGTTACTCGAATTAATTGTAAGTATATCCTCTGTGGAGTTGAAATAATCATAATTCGAGAGCCTCGAAAAATACGTACATATATATAATAATATTTATCGATAGACGCTTGCCTTGCGAGATCTGATCAGGACTATCTTTTCTTCGGAATAATATCTCGCGGTCATTGCTTAATATGACGTAAGTCCACGACATCGTACGCGGAGGTCGAGTGTATATTTCAGGCTCTGACACACCTCAGGACATGTTTATATTTGCCTCTCGCTCTCGCGCATTAGGTTTCTATAGCGTTAGAGCTATGTTTCTCCCACCCTCATGTAAGCACACAGTGGCAACTATAGTCGGTGACTTAAGCTAAACGGTGATGGGTTCGCAACTGTCACTCTGAAGACAAAATGCGTGGAATCGTACATTCCGATAGTGGAATTCGTTAGAGTGATATCATCATCGATTTAGCGGCGAATCTATTTTAGTTGAGGAGTGTAATTTATTGTTAATCGTAAACTTGGTAAGTTTACTCCAATCGAGTAATTGTAGAACACACTTTCGCTAATGTAAATATACCTATATGTTTACAAAAAAAAAAAAAGAAAGAAAAATTATACTTTTGCCCTGAAAATATTTTTTAGATAAGTTTTTTACGTCACAACTTTTTTATTTCCATAATTATCATCGATAAGACTGTTACGTTCCCTGTTTATTCGTATTCGTTATCGGAATATCGTTCGTATAATTCTATTAAAAATATCAAATATTCTTAAACTTTTACAATACGTGTTTACTTAGATGTAATAGATTTTGCAATATTCATAAAATCATACGTAAATTAATATTTCAAGTACTTAGAATGAGTCATTTTTTGGCTCATCCCATTCTTTGTACAAATGAATATAGATGACTCGTGAATCTTTTTCTGCGTCATTGAATAATTTTGTCAAAATTAAATATTCATTTCAGTATAAATACGTTTGATTTGTCATCATGGGTAAGACGAAGTCTTCCGAAGTAGAAGAAGGATCGATGGGTTTCAAGGATAAGCAAAAGGCTTTGGATACATTGAAATTTCTTGATGGTCGTGATATAAGTTATCAATATCATGTCATAACCAGCTTTGTAAGTCGCGTTAAGAGAACATTACAAATAACGAAGGATGAGGAGAAACTTTCGAATTTGCGAGATGCTTTGAAAGTATTCGAAAATTGGTTGACCGATTATAAAGAAAATAATCGTGGAAAGGAAAATCTTGCATATTTACCGATCGACACGATCAAGGCTTACAGATCACTCGCCAAGAGATACGATCTGATCGACGATGATTTTTATGTGTAAGTTTTTAATCTGTCTGATGTCGAAAAATAATATTCGATCAATTTCTTAATAATTTTTCTTTTTCTTTTTTTTCTTTTTTTTGGATTTTTATATCGTAGCGCTTACAGAAAGGAAAAAGGAGATTACAAAAATTTACGTACTTCAAAGTTACAAAATAACAGGATAACATGGGACATCGAAAGGAATCGTAGATTAAAGGATATAGTTGCTAACATCAAAGAAAGGAATATACAATGGTATGAGACAGATATTGGTGATTTAAGAGGACTTCCAACGAAGGAACACGTTCGATGCATCATGTTAGGATACAGTCCGGATCCGACAAAGTTGAAAAAGTTGATGGCAGAAGTTGCATCGAAAATCGGTATTATAGATGACGTCGATATGGAAGTTGAAGAAGAAATCACGAAGAAGACGAACAAGAGAAGCCACGACAAGAACACATCGAGCAGCGAAAGCGAGTCTAGCGAACCCGATAGAAAAGTTGCCAAGTTATCCTCTGATGTGGAAGAAGAGAAAAAAGAAGATAGTGGTCTTAGTTTTAAGGATAAAGAAAAAGCTTTACAGAGTATCAAATCTCTTGAAGGACGAGACTTGAGTTATCAGTATCATGCCATTGCTGGTTTGGTGAAGAGAGCCGAAAGAGTAATATCGTGTACGAAGGATATAAAAAAAATCGAGAATATGAAGGAAGCTGTTCAAGTATTCGAGGATTGGATTACCGACTATAATGTAAATGACAGATCGAAAGATAATTTTAATTATTTATCGATCGACATTATACGAGCTTTCGAACCACTCGTTAAAAAATACGATATCGAAGATAAAGGGATTTTAAAGTAAGTCGTTAATGTCTTATAAAAGAATTGTGAATTTAATTGGATCATTTATTACTTTCTGCTTTGCATATAGGGCATACGAAGGAGTAGATGGAGATTATAAGAAATTGAGGACGGTACAAGTCCCACAATCCGATTTAACTTGGGATAGAAAAAGAAACAAATTTCTTCGAGAATTTGTGGATCATATGAAAGAAGAAAAGGATATTTCTTGGTTTCAAACCGACGGAGATCTTCAGAGTTTACCGACTAAAGAACATACGCAGTGTATTATGTGGGCTTATAGTCCTGATCCTACGAAATTAAAAAAGCTCGTGTCCGTAGTTAAAGATAAATTAACGTCTACAGTGTGATATACTATAACTAATTATCTATCTACTATATCTAATTAGTTATCGTATAAAAGCTTTCATGCTCTTAAATTTTTTAAGCTAAAACTAAACAATTGTTTAATTAGTTGCATATATATATATATATATATATATATATATATATGTATATATAACTAATGAGAAGAACAGATTATTTCCTTTTATTTGCAGGTCAAATATTTTACACAATTAACCATAATTAAAGTCTGTAATGTTTATAAGAAAAAATATAATATTTAAAATGTATCTCTATATGACGATATCAGTCAAACGTTAATACGAAATTCAAATGTCCCGCTGTCGTTAGTAACTAGCGCCATCTTGTCGATATCAAGGCGCGCGCGAGAAAGAAGGGAAGATGGCGCTAGGCATCATGTTGGTTTTTCGAGCGGCGAGCTCAATCGATAGTTTTTATTGCTGTCGCTGACTCGCGAGGGAGGGTGAGCCTAGAGTACAGTTTTGAGGTTAGGGTTAGTGACTCGGTGACACTGGAAACGATAACCGGTG